CAGTGCTGGAAAGCGTGTGCAATATGAACTCAAACTGTTATCCTTGCTCAGTGTGCATGTCTGGCTACGTGTGCCGCAGAGAGCGAGATCATTGCCAAACCCCTGGTGCTGTTCCTGGGTCCCTGGAGTGTCGGGAAGTCGTCCATGATCAACTACCTGCTAGGCCTGGACGACAAGGCCTTCTCACTTTACACAGGTGACCATCATCATCATCATAAGCGATGACCAGTCCACTCTCGGATGAAGGCATCCCCAAACTATTATGATCCTGCGATATAAGAATCCACCATAGTACATGCACTTGTGGCGATATCATTCCATTGCTCAATCTTCCTGGGAGATGTCCTCTCGGTCGCGTTCCCCCGCTTGGCTGCCACTCGACCACCGGTTATCATCTTTTCCAGCAACGCGTCCCACTCAAGGCCACTTAGTTTTATTACAGTCAAAACGAAGTATTCAACCTGTGTATTGTTCTCCAATCCACGTGTTTATATTTCCGTCTCTCAATGTTATTCCAAGCATGCCAAAGCTATGAAATCCAGCTCGTCGTTATCCAACAACGACGACAATGATGGTGGTAATTTATAGTAACAAATAAAATGTAATGGACAAGCTATGCCATGTATTGATCAAGCGATGGCTGGTGGAAAAGCCTCCACAAGAGAGTGCTAGAGAGATCGCCTCGAGAAGGTATTTGGCCTACTCTTCCAACACTAGCCAGATGTCTTGAAAGAGATAAAGGCATCCACACTTTACACCACTACAGGCAACAACATGCCAATCGACTCACAGTAGCGTGCCCATACACACTGTCGACTGGACAGAGGCGGGGGGGAGGGGCTGGTGGGATGTAAGAAACTTGCCCATTGTTACAACTCCTGCTGACGATCTCCGCAGGAGCCGAGCCCACAACGTCGGAGTTCACGGTGATCCGACACGGCTCTAAGGTCAAGCACCTCGAGGGCATCGTGATGGCCACCGACGGCTCGCGCACCTTTGCCTCGCTCGAAAAATTCGGCCAGAGCTTCCTGGAGAAGTTCTCCGGCGTCGAGATGCCTCACAGGCTGCTGGAGCGCGTCACCTTCGTGGACACGCCAGGCATCATCGAGAACCGGAAGCAGCAACAGCGAGGTGAGCGCTGTGCCAGTGGCTGTGTTTCTGAACAGGTTCTCCATTTACAAGAGTAATTTGCAGCACTTTGTCGAATGCGCTGCTGGATGGTAGGGCCCTCCCCCACACTGTCGATCATGGGGATTTGTTTTGAACAAACTTCACCCACGATGGTCAGTGCGGGTCGGTGAAGGGTGGGGGGTGCGGGAGGCCAGGATAAGCTCAGATATCACTCAGTGAAGTTAGCCACGGCCGGGGAATCCAACTCCGTTGCCTCATTTAGAGTGCAAAGCACTGCACCACCGCTCCACCCTTGCATAAGAATAAGTGCCAGCGTGCCGACCGGTATCGTGCGGATGGGGGATGGAGCTGCCCTGTGTTGGGCTGTGGTTTGAAGCCCGGAAATGTTGTTTTAGTGCCATTTCGGACTAAAAATGTGGGGGGGGGGGGAGGGGGGTTTCCCTGCATGTTTGTGCTTAGTAGCCTTGGTCGCGAGGTTTCCTGTTGCAAGCACTCAAAAGTGCCAGGACTGTCCTACAGAGTCCTGCTCTCACCAAAGGCATGTGGAATTTCCACCCCTGACTCGGGTCCGCAAACAGCAGGTGAGTACCACCCAATGCTCGTGCGAATGCCCTTTGCGAGCACAAGGTCTCACGTTCCCCACCCCCACCCCGTGACCAGGCTACCCCTTCAACGACGTGTGCCAGTGGTTCATTGACCGCGGTGACCTCATCTTCGTGGTGTTCGACCCCACCAAGCTGGATGTCGGCCTGGAGCTGGAGACGCTCTTCCGGCAGCTCAAGGGTCGCGAGTCGCAAATCCGCATCATCCTCAACAAGGCCGACAGCGTCTCCACGCAGCAACTCATGCGTGTCTACGGTGCCCTCTTCTGGAGCCTCGCGCCGCTCATCAACGTCACCGAGCCCCCGCGCGTCTACGTCAGCTCCTTCTGGCCGTACGCCTTCCGCGTCGACACCAACAGCGGCCTCTTCCTCGCCGAGGAGACCTCGCTGCTCGACGACCTCCGGCAAATCATTGCCAACCGCATGGAGAACAAGATCGCCCTCATCCGGCAGCACGCCATCCGCGTGCGCATCCACGCGCTCGTGGTCGACCGCTACGTGCAGACGCTGCGCACGCGCTCCTCCTCCTTCTTCAGCAACGCGGATCAGGTGTTCGCCGACATCGTGGAGCACCCCGAGGAGTACAACATCTACGGCTCCGTGCTGGCAAACTCCAACGTGAGCAAGTTCGACCTGCCCGACCCCAAAACCTACAAGTCGTTCTTCGGCGCCAATTCCGTGGCGACGATGCGTCCGCTCTCCTACCACTGCAGCTACACCAACGGATGCCTCCTCGACAAGATCGAACGCGCCATCTCCGTCGAGCTGCCCGCGCTGCTCGGCTCGCTGTCGCCGGTCGCCCGCTTGAAGGTGCGCGCGGCGGCGGCGCCCTCGTGCGGGTCGTACTTGTGCAACGAGACGCCCAAGAATCGCTACGTCAAGCCATGAGCGCCGGTGCTGGGACGCGCGGGGTGGAGGGCTGCTGATGGAGTGCGCCAGTTTGCCCCTAGAAAACGACGCCTCCCACCGCCACCACCACCACCCAGAATTCCATCTTCTCCCAGCAAAGAGCATTGGGGGCAACGCTACGAAGACTGTACCGCAAGTGCCGCTACAGGGCCCACAATGCACACGGCTCAACGCACTGAAGGTCACTGTTTGCAGTCAACTGATGGACATTTGCTTCAGCTTGTGTCTTTAAAAACTCGATACTATGCAGACACGTATCTTTAAGTACCGCAAATGTGTATGTCTGCATAGTTGTATGCTTGCATATAGACGGGTGTGCGTACAGAAAGGGGATATTGATAATTAAAAGTCGAAGGAACTGACCAAAATGTATTGCATCTGATTTAAGTTGACTCTGGATGTATGCGTTTACGATCATGTTAAATTCTAATTTATGAATCGAATTAAACAATTGAGGAAGTGATATATTAAGGTAATCACTTTAAGTTTAACACAATAGCACAATTGTAATGTTACATCACCATTCATTTCTTGCATTCAGCGTTTGAACAGTGTGCGAAGTGTCAGTCACGGTGCAGTGAAGCCGAATTCGAAGCCTGCCAGTTGTTCATCTTGTGAGTGAACACCCCTGATGCGATATGCGTGCATGTCGGGTGTTTGTGATTTTCCTGTAATATTCCAGGAAAGCGAGACTACTGTTTCGCACGCGTGTGCTTGCCTGCGTAGGGGTGTAAGTGTATTGTGTGACGTTTCTTTGACGAATTCGGTTTTTAAGGCAGATTTGAATTATCAAGGTTCAACAAGCTTTCTGTTAAAAAATAAACGTAAGGGGCCATGAAAAAACATGAATGATACATTCCAATGATTCATATTTAATGTCAACAGGTGATCATTTGCAAGTGCAGCTTGCGCAATCTATTTACATATAGGAATTTTTAATAGTTTGGATAATTGGAGGTGGCCCGGGTGGGCTGAGAGATCAAAGGACTGAAACCAGCCCCACTGAATTTCCTGAGTTTGATTCTGGGCAGCTGCCTGTAGAGTTCTCAAGCAGAGTGAGTTTAAAGCCTCAGTTCCAGTCACCAATAACCAGAAAAAAAACATAAAAAATATTTCTGCACTTAATCTGGCCACATTAAAGTCGACAATAACAAGTATAACCCGTAAAAACAAAGTTTTTCACTCTAAATCCTTTATATGCGTGGCGGCTAGAGTCATCTCGTCCTCTGGCTTGAGATGGCTGCCACCTATGGGTCAGATGATTGTCTGCAGTATTAAACAATTGGTAATTAAATATTTAATTTGTTTTCCCTAAGCAGTGTAAAATTTTTGAAAAAAATTTTCACGAACATTAATTGTCTCGCACAACGAGTCTGTGTGCAAAATGTCAGCTCGATTGGATCACGGGAAGTGGGTTAAAAAACGACCGAAAGGTTTGCACAGTCGTAAGCAAGCAAGCACGCAAGCAAGCTAACTTAATATAAAGGATTTAAAAATGCGATATCGGTTTGACCGTCAAGCCATGGACATTTATGTCTGCAGTGAGGCGGGGTGGGAAAGTGCTGCCACTGAAGAGAAGATAAGAGGTTGATTGAAATAATTTGGAAGTACTTCTGTGAATCTCATTCCAATAAAGTTGCTCTTGCATCGGGTGCTGCACTACCCTGCAAGCGTTCCAAATGGACAATTCATTCAATATTATGACGCTGATAGCACAATCGGGAATAAATGGTGGAAAAGATGCATGTATAATTATATGTTTAAAAAGTATGAATAATTTACAATTTGCACACAATAATTCAAAAATGAGAAATTACCGAGAAACCGTAGGAAGCTATCCCTAAAAAGTCTAACTTGCACAGAGGCGAGGGCAATATTCACAAGACAGTACCCAGAGACCGGGCAAACATACGGGCGTTCAAAAGACAGGGCCACCATTTAACCACGTGGACTATTGACGCAAGTGCTGCTAGCATCAACTAAGACTGGCACGAAGAATGAGGGGGGTTGTGCTGCCTTTGTGTTACCAGTGATGTTTACACATTACACCGGCTACTCATTTAAGGCCAAGTCGATATAGAAATAATCCAAGATCCGTATGCCGCTGGTCACTCGCATGCATGGCTGCAAACGGAACCCTTGTCCCACACAGGCACAACTGTTTGATACAAGATATGATGCAAGGAAATTCGAGTTGGCTACGTACGGTGCGAAAGAAGTTCAACAAACATACATTGAAGCTCCATATACATGCAAGGTGATGATGATTATTATTGGGATTACAGTGCTGTGCACACCCATCACTACGAGCCACTGCCCCACACAACCTCCGCTAGCAAACGGCAAATTCCGCGTCACCTTGGGCGTGATCTCCTTGAGGATGCGGCTGGCATCTTCGTCGTAGTCGAGCTTGCAGGCCATGGCCAAGTCCTTGCTGGATTCCTCCCAGTGGCCCAGCAGCCTGGAGGGCACCACGAGCACAGGGGCCGCACACGAAGGAGGCGCGAGACCGAAGAGGGAACGGAGATGTCACATGGCGCACCCACACACACACAAGTGCGCGTGCGGTGATGCAGACTCAAGAAAAGTCCAGCATATGCGTCTGTATGCACGCGCAGATGAGCGAGCAAGCGTGCGTGTTAGGGGTCACGAGTGCATGAGTTTGTGTGTTTATGCCAGCGAATGTGTGTATGTGTGGGAGTATGTGCACGGGCGCGTAATGCGTGCGTGAGCTAGCGAGCGCGTGTTCGTGACCGAGCACGTGTGTACGAGTGGATATGCTTGTCAGCGTACGTGTGCGGGTGAGCGCGAGTGTGTTCATGCACAAATGCGTGTGTACGCAAGCATGAAAAGATATATCTTTGTCTTGTGTGAGCATGTGAGCACATGTTTGTGCGAGAGTATGCGCTTGTTTTTCATCGTGTAGCGGTTAGTGTACTGCACTACGAACCTGGCGACCCGGGTTCAATTCCTGCTCACGACCAACACCAGTGACGATTATCTGAACCGGTTATGGGCCTCTCCTAGGTCGACTCAGCCTCAAAATGAGTACCTAGCACAATTTGTAAACATTGCCACTGGGGAGACAAAGGCGGCCGGGCGTGGTGTTTGCCAACCCACCCCCTAGTGTGCCGTGTCGGCCTTCATAGGTGCTCGCTAACAGCACTTGTCCAAACATTCCGTTACAGACTATACAGGGGATCTTTGTATATGTAGGGCGAGTGTGCGCACGAGTCCGTGTGTATGGTATGCGAGTGTGTATGGTATGCGAGTGTGTATGGTATGCATGCGTGCATGTGTGTGTTGTGTACGTGTGTATGGTATGCGAGTGTGCATGTGTGTTGTGTACGTGTGTATGGTATGTGAGTGTATGGTGTGAGTGTGCGTGAGTGTGCGCGAGTGTGCGAGTGTGTGTATGGTGTGTATGGTGTGTGCGTGTGCATGGTATGTGTGTATGGTATGTTAGTGTGTGTATGGTGTGCGAGTGTGTATAGTATGTGAGTGTGTGCGTGCGCGAGTGCGTGCGTGCGGCACCCCACCGGTGGGCGATGCCCCTCCACTTGTACGACTGCGCCGAGTCAGGGTTGATGCTGATGGCTCGGTCCCCGTCGCGGATCGCTGCGTTTGGCTTCTCGAGCTTCACGTACACACTGACCACAAAGACAAAGATCCCCCGTGTAGCCTTACCACACTGTTGGGGCAAGTGCTGTTAGCGAGCACCTACGAAGGCCCGAACGGCACGAGCAGGTGGGCGGCCAGCAGCACACCCGGTCGCCTGTGTCCCTAGTGCCGATGTTTACACATCGCATCAGGTCCTCATTAAAGGCTGAGTCGACCTAGAGGAGGCCCAGGACCGGTTCAGATAATTGTCACTGGTGTTGGACGTGAGCGGAAATCGAACTCAGGATGGCGGGTTCGTAGCGCAACGCGCGAACCATTACACTACCAAACACGTGTATCCGTGCGTGCTTGCCAGCAAACACCACCTCCATAAGTCTTGGATTGACCAATCAGGGCCATTTTAACCCAGTGTCCAATGCCAGTGAATAGCAGCCTCTAGTTCCCAACGTTTGTATTGAAGCTGAATCACTGTGGGTCTTTTATTTAAAGCAGTTCTTCGTCGCTGTTACTTTGCGAAAATATGTTTGTGGGATTCAGAACACACTATGTATGGAGCAATTCATCGGTCCTCTCCTCCCCCTTCAAGTGGATGACTTGTCATGTTTGTTCCTGTAGACAAGTTCTGCGGTAAAGACAAACGATGCTTCCGCAATATTTTAAAACCCTTTCCTGGTGATATAGTAATCAACAACTCTTCAGTGGTACTACAATAATTAACTCCTAAAGCAATGAACAGTAATTGCAATTTAATAATGATTGTAAGTGTAATACTAATGAGATAGGTACTGGTTACACAACACTACTATACAATTCTAGATTTGAAGCTTCGTGACTGCAAGGATTCATACTCTTAGGTTTTTTCGGTAAAGTCACGTAGGTAAAAAATTTAATTAAAATCAATAAAAGCAAAATAAAAATCACGACGTTTCGGAGGCAACACAAGCTTCCGTATTCAGGTGGAACCGTCACAGCACGATTGCTGTATCAAGTACTTACCTACGTGACTTTACCGAAAAAACCTAAGAGTACTACTATACAATTCCAACTGCTGATTGTGAAAGCCCAGCAAAGACCAATTGGAGGAAACAAACCTGGCCCTCTTCGCATAGAGAATGGCAGAGGAGGGGTTCAATTTGATGGCCTCTGTGAAGAGCTCAATGGCTTTCTGGAGTTCCCCTGTCACACACACACACACAGACAACAATCCCATGCATCGCCTTCACAGTCTGTTGGGTCAAGTGCTGCAAGCGAGAACTTATGAATGCCGGCCACAGCACACGAGGAAGTGGGTGGCTAGCACCACGCCTGGCCGCCTTTATCTTCCTCGTGGAAATATTTACACATCGCATCAGGTACTCATTTGAGGCCGAGTGAACCTCGGAGAGGGTTCAGGACCAGTTCAAATAATCGTCACTGGTGTTGGCTGTGAGCGGGAATCGAACTCGGGTCGCCAGGTTCACACACACGACCCAGGTTCACACACACACGACCCAGGTTCACACCCACACACATACAAACATCCACCGCTTAGCTATACAATCTGATAGGCAAAGTGCTGCGAGTGAAAGCCAATATTTCTACAATGTAGCCGGTGAGGTCACAGACCAGTTCAGATAAAGCTCCTCCCTGACCTTATCCATGGCTGGGTATGCCAGGTTCATAGCGGAGTGCACTAAGTACTGCACCACTGCTCACGTAGTGAAATTTCGTGCAGCACGGTATATTTAGTAGGCACGTAATGACTCATCCATTTTAATGAATTCTTACGATCCACGAGAAATGTGAGATTGTGTGTAAAAGAGCAGTCAATGTGCGATGAATACAAATATATTCAATTGTTTGGCAAGATAATATATCCAATCAGTCAGTTTATTTTGGGTAAGTCTCACTGAGCTCGGGACTCCAAAACCCGACCAGACTATAAAAATGAGACGAAAAAATATTCTTGAATGGAATTGTGATCCTTAACGGTGACAACTGAATCAGGATTAATGGTTACGCTTAGTATTTATCATCGGTGTTTCATACAGCAATGCGCCGCTGTGTGCTCCTGTCCCCCCGGCCTTACCATCGGCCAGGGCACTCATGGCCTCGCCCTTCTTCTCGTTGGCCTGGTCCATCATCTCCTCCGACACCTGTGGCACACACATCGGGTGACGCTAAACTACGTGTACATCATGGCTGTGCGCAGACGTTCCAAGTAAAATTTTGTTTAAAATGTGATTAACCAGAGGTTATAACTCAAAGAGACAATAGTTTCACATTTTACCTGGGTCACTAAAATAACACAAAATAAAAATTCAACAACGACGCAAACAAAAAAATCGTAGCAAACACAAACAGATGTGCGAGTATATACAAGCATGCCGGGCCCACATTGGAGCTTGCTAGCAGCACCTGCCCAAAAGTCTGTTAAAGGCTACATATGGGGGATCTTTGTCTACATGGTATCGGTGGTGATTGGGATTTAAATCAGGGCTCACACACTTGTGGTGATGTAAAATCACACGCTGAAAATACATTACCACCATTATCACTAATGCAATGCAATTAACAATACAACTGGGATTTTTAAAGGGCACCTAAATGTGACCACATCTCAAGATGCTGTACAATAATATTTTTTATCATATTGTGCTCTCCATCATAAAAAAAATCTAAGCATTCAATTCAGCAGCTGCACATAGCAAACAACAGGCAACAATCCATACAGTACCTGCGTACGAGCCAAACTCATTGCTCCATCTCCGCGATGAATGTGCTCTCAGGTGCTCTCCTTGATCATGAATAAAAATCATGAACTCTTTTTATCCATCCATCTCTAATGGTGAAGAGGGTCAAGATGTGCTCACCTCAACCTCAGCGTCGCCCATCTCCTGCGGTGGATCGTGGTCCTCCTCCACCACGCCCTCATCATCAATGTCTGCGCACAGGGGGAGATAAAGAATCGTTAAAACCTCTGCACGCCAACACCAGTAGATCCATTAGCAACGACACCAACACCACATCCACCATTAGGCTCAACAGCTTCTTTACCAACACTATTCATATTACCGGAAGCATCAGCACCTATACAAATATCAGCACCAAAACTACCATCCGTAGCAACGGTAGAATCACCTTTCACTGACTGTTGGGGCAAGTACTGTTAACGAGCGCCTATTAAAGCGGAAACTCCAGCATCACGCCCAGCCACTTTGTCTCACCAGTGTTGATGTTTACACACAGTACCAGCTACTCATTTAAGGCTTAGTCGTCCGAGTAGATGCCCAGTTCATATATCACTCGCCATCAATGTCAGCCATGGCCGGAAATTGAACTCGGGTCATCAGGCTCGTAGTGCACTGCGCTAGCCACTGTTCCACCCACTCCACTGGTGGTAGTGCCACCAAAAACACCAGCACGGGGAAGGGCATCGGCAGCGCGAGCATTCGCAGCAGAGAATCCCACGTAGACACCGTGGTTGAAAGCACCAACAGAAAACAACACAAGCACCAGCAGGCAAAACTACACCAGTAGCACCAGCAAGAATGAACACCGCAGCAGGAGCGGTACTGGCATCGAGGGAAGTAGAGGGCTGAGGTGCGCGAGGATGAACATACCCAGATCGCTCTCTTCGCTCTCAGGCTCTGGTTCTGTTTCGGGTGCCGAAGTGGATGGGGGTGGGGACGTTGGCTTCTTCTCCTCCTGCTCAGCAGACATCACAATCGCACCACGCCATTACCACGACTACCACCAATGGCCAATTAAACATAAGGATCAGGATTTGCATTCATAGGGCGCTTAAATGCCTCGGCAACTCAAAGCGCCTTACGTGACATCTCGTATAAACCATTCCACTGCCTTGCTGCAGTCTATTCAACAGGGACCCCTAGTGGCAGCTATCCCTGTGCCCAGAGTGTGACTGCGGCTCACAAACCTTGATATGAGCATGTAAACAATTCAGAACCCTCCTGAAAAAAACAGTCCAATTGACTCAGTGTGGCTTTCCTGGATAAATAAGTTCATTACACTGCTGAGGTCTGAGAGGGAAGCGAAATCAAAAGGGTCGGTGACATCGCGCTACCAAACGAGGTGGGCAGTGGGCGCGATTTTTGTGGCACTGAAGCAGAAAATGGCAGTTTCAAAGGACTCCGTGGCTTCTGTGGTTATTTATAAGAGTCATTGTTGGTGGCGAGCTTACTGGATCATACTCAAGATTTGCAAAATTTTATCACCGTTCGGAATCGCTGTAAATGAAGGCCATGTTCAAATTTCAAGATTATAAAATAATTTTAAAAGAAAAACGTTTACGGTGATGTAATAAAATACAATGACGTCACCCATTGTGGACTGCCTCGTTTTGATCACTGGCAGTGTTGAATGATGAGTGTGCTGCGCAAATGGGCGTGGTGTACCACACTGCATTGGCATGGATGGTTTGCTGCCAGCGTAATGGTCTAATGAGAAACGTAGCACCGTGGCGATTGCCTTGCACCTATAAGAATGTTACGAATACCAAATGTACTAATTGTTATTGAGGTGGAGCAAAAAGTGCCTTGGGAGGGGGAGGCTTGGCAGCACTTGGCTCCTCTGGTGCCGCTGGCACCTGGGCTCCCATGCTGAAACGGCATAAGATGCACACGGGTCAAAGGTTAACCTCTCTGGACCAGCACAACAACCTCCCCACACACACAAGCCAGTGCTACCTGCCACCTCATTAAATTCATCATCAGCCACGGTCAATCTACTGCTGGACGTCGGCTTCCATAAGGCGCTGTCATCTCTCGCAAGCCTGCGATGCATGAAATCCATCAAGCATCAGCACAAGCAGATTTTACGGCTCCACATTAAGGCAGACATACTCTCGGAAGCATACCTGTCACCAAATATTGAGCCAATGTGATCGCTACAGCACTTGTGTTATAAACATTTGCGTAGACCACTGCAACATTCCAACGCTAATTGCTGTAAAGGGTTCCCCGAGTAGAGCAATATAGTTCCGAAGGGCATTCTCTGCAGAAAGGTTGTGGTACAGAAAAATCTATTCTGGCCACCTAGAAATGTGGATCAGCCAGATCACAGACAGTAAACCTCGGACTCAAATAACAACAATTTTTTCATGGTTATCACATTCAAATGTGAGTTATGGGCAGAGTTAATAAATCCGGTTTGAATAATTACCCAAAACCCAATTCATCAGAGCCACAAATCCAAGAGTATGAGCAGCCATCAGCAGAGAGTCATCTCTGGGCATTGCCACCATTTTCTTTTTTCCCTTCATGGAAGGACGCGCTCAATGGGTGACGCCCTATGAATGAATGGGGGTGGAGGTTTTACGAGGCTCCTCCTTCCCCACGCCCGGCACGTGTTGGCGTGCTCCCCAGGCCATGGGCTCTACAAACATCGGCAAACCAGAATGAACACAATAGTGGTCAACAGCAGGCACCAGTCTGCATTGAGCCAAAGGTGGCCCCATTATTAAGCAAATACAGCAGCAAGAGATTCCTGCTCCAATTCTTGGCTGAGCTAAGGTGCGGTGGTCACGTGCACAAGACACCAGACTTTTCCCCGCAGATGACGTGGTAGGTGGTGGAGGAGGAGAGGGTGGTGACATGAGGACAAGACGAGGCTTTGAAAGTCCCCGTTGGCCCAAATGCCAGATTTATCGGTGGGACGCCATCGGGGCAGACGGGACATCTGCTGAGACCATGCAGAGAGCCGGGACCCCACAACAAAGCAGGGGGGGGGGGGCACTTTTTTTAGATCCTGTGTTGAACTAATTCGCTCACAATGAAAGCACGGTGAAGCTTCTGGATGAAAATAAGTGTTATAAAAAGCGCACTGCAGTTGTGGCTATTATTTCAAGTGGAAAATATATTCCTCTTTTAAATCAAAGTGAGATTTCACACACAGAGACAAACGTGAAGAAATGAACACGTACATTCTCTTAGGACAGTTCTGTGAATGGATTTATATTTAGCGTTCTACTCCGTCATCATTGTTGTAAACCAATGTCTACGTACGATCTAAAGTCATCATATTATGAATGATTTTTGTATGATGCGTCATTCCTTGAGAATAAAAAAAATATCTTTCATAACGTACACCCAAGGTACAACCATTAGCAATCCACCAAAAGTCTGGTTTAAAAAAAATACCCTTGCAAAAAACAAGTGTTGCTTGAGAATGTATGCATGCATGTTGAACTTCTTTTGCACCGTACGTTGCCAACTGTGTTAATCGAAGGTGCGGGGAATCGGAGGTGATATTACCTGGAGAGAACGGGTTAAACATTAAACAGAGTAGCTCGGTGACCACTGCCATACTGCCAGTAGCAAAGCAATATTGAGCAAATACTCGAGGGTGCAGAATACTGGACTGTATGTTTGTACAAAATGAAGAGAGGAAGTAGGGACTACATGCCACTTATCATCCATTGCTGTGAACGTAAGACAACTGTGAACAACACACACACCCTGCATAGCGGAGCAGATAATATAAACAATTGTTCAAATGGTGATATAAGCACAAAATTCGGCACATTATCTCCTTAGGATCACTTTGTGGGAAAACATGTGAGCCACCTTAAAGTCAAAGATGGCCACCATTTTCCTAAGACGGCCACAATTTTTCACATAATGCCCACATTTAATACCTTTTGAGCAGAGACGTTAAGTCGCATTGATCTGAGATAAACAAGGTAACAACAAGGGAGCATTTCAGCGGTCCCAGGGAGACCATTTGGGAGAAGGGGATTGAGTGCCCCTGTGGGAGGGGGGGGGGAAGAGGCGTAATTAAGGAGCACATGGCTGCTTTGCATGCCCTGTAATTTCAGAATAAAATTGTCAAGTTCATTAACTTTCAAAAGTGGAGCAATTGTTAGATTTAGATTGTATTTATTTCAGCAGGAAGGGCCCAAATTATGTGTTAGGTTCTATATCATGTGCACCCTGCGGCAGTACAGATGTTGCAAGGTACAGATCTTGGTTACAATCGTGGTTTCATAGGTCGTGATACAAACATAAAGTATTGGCACTTGTCAACATAAAAAAATGACATTATTTAACGAACAAAAACACAGGATTTATTTATTTAGTAAACCAAACGCAATCAGTAACTGAGAACTTTAAGTATGATCCATACAGACTTGGGCTTCAGCTTCTCTGATTATTATTTATTACAGCGACATCTATGCAGGACCTTTAGTTGTAGGAGCGAACAGAAGGTTTCTCATGGGCGGCAATGATTCAATTCCCAAATCTAATAATACGATAAGCGTTCAACAATGGGGAAGCAGTTACCAAAAAGGCCTGTCCCTCATTGTTGAATGCTCCTAATACAGTATATTAAGGTGTATTTTCCTTGTAACGTCTGGATGGAGTAGTTTCGTGGTGAAAGAGGATTTTTTTAATAGTACTGTGTGGTCGGCCTAGCCTCAGTTTTCTCCCTAAACAACGTGGATATTGGGGGCCTGGTTCAAGGCACCCGTGGTCACAAGGAAGTCTACATTTGTGAGCGTGCAGTGACACCCCAGGAGTAACAGTATTTGAAAACACAGGGAGGACACCGATACAGGTAGACATTGTGATATAACTGGACGATATAGGGAGACACTGAGGGACAATAGAAGATGTAGGGACATAGGTTACCAGGTAGATACTCGGGAATCTGTGATAATGTCCCTTAATTATCCCTGTGAGACAAGCTACAAGGCCGTAGCGCATCAGGTAGTTATCAGGAAGTCAGTGACAAATGTTCTCATTACCAGTTCATTTTGTGGAACAAGTTACCAGGTTGTAATGTATCAGGCAGTCGGCTGGAAGTCTGTAAATATTTGTCAAGTTCCTCGTCAGTCATTGTGACTATCAGGTTTTACTGGATACACTAGTACCAAGTGGTAACTTTTAGGTTGACTACTATGCATAGTCAATGACAAAGATGATTATTTCCTCTATCTAACCACTGGGTAACCTTTTTTAAACTGTATTATCTCGATGTACACTTTATTCATGTAAATTCCCTTGAGGGGGTCTGAACTGGTTAGTTTGCGTGGTTAGTTTGCGACCGGAAACATGGAGATGCCCAGGAAGAAGTGATCTTATCTGGAAAGGTAGTTGTACGAATAACACATTTTTGTCGTCCCTGGTTCCTCGTAGCACTCTGCCTTTACTTGGTATGTTGCTACTATACAAGTTTCAACTACTGCGGGAGCTTCTTTCACTCTTGTTTGCTGAAGCATACTGCAGTGGCAAAGTGGCATTGGGTAGCATGGCCGGTGCACGTGGTGGCTGGAGCTGAGCCCCATACAATTTCCAGAAGTTCTCCGAAGATGATGTGTGTGTGTGTTAATACAGGGTTGAAACCTCTTTACCGTGAGATCAGCACGATGAATTGATACTTTATTTTTTACTGGACTGTGATACGTGTACTGATTAACTTGTGTAGGTGATCGTTATTCATTCACCCTAAGTCGTGGTGCGTGTTTTGTATTACGCTACCGTTTTGATCTTTCCGCATAGCACCGTCTGGATACTTGACCCTATTGTGCATTCGTCGGAATGTTATTTTTTTTAGTGGTTTTTGGTGTGTTAGTAAATCATGTTTTTGTTGTTAAAGTGTCATACCTGTCAACCCCTAATCAGTGCCAACCTTATTACGGACCATTTCAGACCTTTTTGGTCACCCCGTGCCCGTATACATATCAACATTCATCCTACAAAGACCCATCGCAAGGAAGAAACACAACCAAATAGACAACATATGTTTGCCCATATCAAAACGGCTGTACGCCGTATTAACCTGAAAACAATTTCCCTGTTCAAGAATACGGGGTAAACCGTATGGGTTGGCACGGTATGAAATGTGCTGGCGTGGGAGTTCTGGTTTGTCTGGGAGCGTGCTCCCGAGCTGGGGTGTGGTTTAAAGGACTGTAATACAAGGAGTGTAATGACCCAATACCAATGCCCGCCATTCGCCACGGTCACCACGGCGCCTGTGCCAGGCGCGGTGCACTTTGAGGCTGCCACGTGGAGTGTCGAATGCTCGCTGACAGGTCTCGGGACAGACCCAGCAGGTGCCATGGGTTGGCCGACTGAGATGACCGGTAGATGCACCACCAGCCGTACCCCCTACTGAGCCACCATATGCACCACCATGCCACTCATGCCCATTTTCCACTGCAATATGAATGACCATATTGTTCAATGTGTGTGGAGGTTGAGAGGCTGTGTGGAGCGGTCTTTGTATGTATGGAGAGTGAAAAGCTGTGTCTGTGCCGAGCTGTGCGGAGCTTTGAGGGTGACAAGCCATAATGAGCTACCCCCCTTTGCTTTTTGGAGCTGTGTGGAGCTCTGTAGTGCTATGTGTGGTCATGTGTGTGGCCGTGTGGAGCTGTGTGTGGAGCTGTGTGGCCGTGCGGAGCTCTGCGTTGCCGTGTGGAGCTCTGCGTGGCCGCGTGTGGAGCTCTGCGTGGCCGCGTGTGGAGCTCCGCATGGAGCTCTGCGTGGTCGTGGAGCTCTGCGTGGCCGCGTGTGGAGCTCCGCGTGGTCGTGTGGAGTTCAGCGTGGTCGTGTGGAGTTCAGCGTGGTCGTGTGGAGCTCTGCGTGGAGCTCTGCGTGGTCGTGTGGAGCTCCGCGTGGAGCTCTGCGTGGTCGTGTGGAGCTCCGCGTGGAGCTCTGCCTGGCCGTGTGGAGCTCCGCGTGGAGCTCTGCGTGGCCGTGTGGAGCTCTGCGTGGCCGCGAGGAGCTCTGCGTGGTCGCGTGGAGCTCCGCGTGGTCGTGTGGAGCTCTGCGTGTCCGCGTGTGGAGCGAGCGGCGCGTACCTCTCCAGCCACTGCTTGAAGAAGTGTAGCTCGGGCTTGTGCAGCACGCCCGGGTTCTGCGAGCACAGCAGCACGAACGCCTTCAACTGCGACAACTTCTCGGGCTCCATCTCTCGCTACGCGTACACAGCTAATCGATCGGGCACTGGGGCAGCAGCGGCGTTATAATTATTACTCGTTATTCGTGTACGGCAAATTGTAATCGTTGCGATAATTCGCACTTGCTAGCTGCGGCCTAGACAACAAGCACCAGCGCCGCTGTCTGAAGAGAGAATCCTCCAACGTTGTGAGGCGGGGGGGGCGGGGCCTCGTACGTCACCGCCCACGCTCGAACCAATCACGAGGCGCCGTGCAGGTATCGTGACGAGGCGCCGACCAATCGCGTCGCGGGCATCGTTCCCCCCCCCCCCCACTTTGCCTCCTACCCGCTCTGCAGCCCCCCCCCTTCCGCCCCCGCCCCTCCCCCCGCCGAGGGGCGGGGGTCGAAGATTCCAGAAGCGTAGTCACCCCCCCACCCCCCTCTCCCCCCCCTCTCTGTGTGACCCCTCGCTATAATGTTTATAATTAGTAGAATGGGGGGTGGGGGGGGATTTTTTTGGGTCTTTCGGTAAAGTCACGTAGGTAAGTTGAAAGAAAATAACAAAACAAACTACGTTTCATAATTGTTTTTTTACCCTTCTATCTGGCAACAAAACTGACACCTTTTTTACAAGGAGTCAGGTTTGCATAGGTATTGACCTGCAGTCATAATGCAAACAAAAAACACAACTCTGATAATGTATGCACTGTCTTTGAAGTTGATTTGTCCACACCCGAGACAGCTTTACTTAGAGCCGAGTCTCACATGGTGTTGGACCAGATGACGCCAAAAGGCGCACAACTCAAAGACAATGCACCATCAGAGTATGAAAGCTCGGGGTAAGCATTTACACCATTGGAACCTTGTTTGCCATAAACTACGTTTCGATCACAACTCAAGCGATCGTCATCAGGAGGAATAAAAAAAACAGAGTAAAGCTGATAAGGCAGACTGTTTAAAAGCCTTAATTAATGTTAGCTGATGAGGCAGACTGTTTAAAAGCCTTAATTAATGTTAGCTGATGAGGCAGACTGTTTAAAAGCCTTAATTAATGTTAGCTGATGAGGCAGACTGTTTAAAAGCCTTAATTAATGTTAGCTGATAAGGCAGACTGTTTAAAAGCCATAATTAATGTTAGCTGATGAGGCAGACTGTTTAAAAGCCTTAATTAATGTTACTCTTCGTATTTTTGTTTGATTTTAAAGCACGCGCGGTTGTGACTAAATGTGCCAACACGGGAAAAGTTTTACTCGAGGGCCACTTGGCGTTACGAACGTAGCGCTGTAATATATAATAACCACTTGTGTTACCTACACTTTAAAACAGAAACACCCACGTCATCCACCGCAATGAGAACAGCCGAGCGAATGCGTTTTACTGGTAGGAACCTCCTGGTTCCACCAGCCCACAGGGGATTATTGTGTCCGTCGTGCATCCAAAAAATGGGTGGAAAGGGTGGGGAGGGGCTGGGTGGGGAGGAGGGGCTGGGTGGGGAGGGAGGGTGGGGCTGAGTGGGGGGTGGGAGGGGTGGGGCTGGGTGGGGAGGGGCTGGGTGTGGAGGGTGGGGCTGAGGGGAGGGTCGGGAGGGGCTGGGTAGGTTGGGGCTGGGTGGAGAGGGTGGGGCTGGGTGGGGGGTGGGAGGGGTGGGACTGGGTGGGGAGGGGCTGGTCACCCCGTGGTGCCCTTATAAAACTCAACGTTTAACCTACTCACGCCGGCTTGTGCCCGCCCTCACAGTTGGCCATTGACCGAGCAACCCAACGTTCCTACCAGCTCCCTACGCAGGAATGTGTTTGTTTCTGGTTGGATGTATTTCGTTAATGCGATTAATTTCACATTGCTGGTTTTCCCCCTCGCCTGATCCATATCTGTTTTTAATTGAAACCGCTCGTGCGGATGTTGATCATGAAACATGTTGTTCAGACGCTTCAGAAAATAGGACACGCAGCATGAAAGGAATCCGAACTCTCATTTCGATATAAAAAAAAGTTTAAGTCACGTGAACCGCGCTGGGCTAAATCCTCCCATAACCATTTATGGCCAGCCAATCACTATAATCTCCAAACTTATCCTCCTTCAAGCACCTTTAAGAGCCTCTTAATTTAATATTCTACAGGGCCTTTGGAGGCGTCCATAAATGACGTCACGCGATTTTGTACGATTTTTGACCACCCCCCCTTCATCACACGGAGTCACAAAAAGTCAGACCCCCCCCCCCTCAAATATGACGTCACAAAGCTCTGCCCCCCCCAAATGCTTTTAACTATTGTCATTGTAGTGCGTATTTAATGTGGCGCTGCAGTCTGTCGGAGAAAACATTCATTAAAAAGTCTATTTAATTAACTATGCAGTTTATTCAAAATCAACGTTTTTGGGTTAAGATCGCGTTATTTATAAATGTGTCGTAACCCTCCACCACCCGACACGGCCAAACAGTAAAAAAGTGTCATGTTGACATAAGACAAATAGTTCACTGCTCTAGCCCACCGGTGTGTTGAAGCGTGACACCACAACATTTACAATTTTTTGAGTTCGACGTTTCGCTGGTAATTGCATCCAGCATCATCGGGCAATTCGCCAGAATGGTGAGGCTCTGCTGTGTCTCCCGTGCTTATATAGAGCAGCAGCAGGGTGACGTCATCATTAACTCATTAACTGTCGTTTATATTTATTTTATTTAAAGTTGCGCATTTTATGTGACGTCACATTTCGCACCCCCCCCCCTCGTCACACATCGTCACAAATGTCTGACACCCCCCCCCCCCCAGGTGCGTGACGTAATTTATGGACAGCCCCTTTGAAACAACCCGAATCCCGACACTATTCGCCACGACCAGCTCGATAGGTAAATCAAAAGGAACGATTTACAATCTTGGCTTGGGACTTCCTTGCGAGTCTGTGCCAGAGCACGTGGCCATAGCAGGGGTCACCTTGATTCGGGCATTGCGATCCTGATCGCCGAGACCATCTCTTTATATTAATTCTAGATTTGAAGCTTTCGTGACTGCAAGGATTCATACTCTTAGGTTTTTTCGGTATAGTCACGTAGGTAAAAAATTAAAATTAATAAAAGTAAAATAAAATAAAAATCACAAGACGGAAGCTTGTGTTGCCTCCAAAACGTCGTGATTTTTATTTTATTTTACTTTTATTAATTTTAATTTTTTACCTACGTGACTATACCGAAAAAACCTAAGAGTATGAATCCTTTATATTAAGTTCGCTTGCGCGCTTACGACCGTGCAAATCTTTCGGTCGTTTTTTAACCCACTTCCCGTGATCCAATCGAGCTGACATTTTCCACACAGACTCGTTGTGCGTGACAATGAATGTTTGTGAAATTTTTTTTGAAAAATGTTACACTTTTTAGAACAAAAATATTATATTTAATTACCAATTGCTCAATGCTGCCATGCAATCATCTGACCCATAGGTGGCAGCCATCTCAAGCCAGAGGACGAGAGGACTCTAGCCGCCACGCATATAAAGGATTTATAGTGAAAAACTTTGTTTTTACGGGTTATACTTGTTCTTTCTTCTGATCAGCTTCATTGGACCAACATTCCCATTAGCGACGTGCACATTAAATGCAATTATAATCTTTGGACCGGTCGATTACGACGACGGTGGGATGGGAAGTCTTGCCCAGGTTGCCGAGAACACACGACGGCCTCCGATAACAGCTGCAGAGGGCCGGGCCACGCGTCCATCCACGTGGTGGCTGCCCAATCAGCAACACGAGCACCTGCTGCTGTTGTTGTTGTGTACGTGTCTGCGGGTGTGTCAGCTCGCGGTTTCAATTTACACCGCAAACAATGGGGGGGCAAGGAGGGATATTGAACCGCGTCAGAACATCGAACGGCAGACGCGACACGATTGACAATTCCACCATAAAATGGGCCACACGTTCCACAACCATGGTCTCTAAACACACGTAAAAAACCACCCCCATTCCGATCATTCGCCGACAGCATTTGCAGCGATTAGGTCTTTACGCCTTGAAGCTCATTCACGAATATCGACGTGCGGTGAAATTAATGTGCGGGGCAGTGGCAGGCGAGACACGGTTTTTTGTTGTGAGGGGGGGAGGGGAAAGCACATGTTCTGGAGCAGAACTGCACTTAAATCTTGCGTACTGTGCTGCAGATGAAAATAAGTGTATAGGGAAGGACAGGCAATCCTCGATGCAGTCCCACGGAATACCTGGTATGGAACCCGTGCCGTGTAAAAATTATATGGTTGAAAACATTGTCAAAAACACGTTGGAGTGTAATGGAGACTTCATTTGAGTCATTGATGGCTGCAAGTCACGGTTGACGGCACATTTCTTTTGTGACATTCCCGATCTAGCACAGGAATGTAGAATGAACTCGATCACCACCACGATCCGTGGGCCAAGGTGAAGAGGTCATCATGAAACAGTCACACGGCGTCACTTGGAGAAGGTTGGTAAATCCCTTTTATCAAGAGCGCTTACGTACAAGGAAACGTTGAAGGCGGAAATTATGGAGAAACACAAATTGTCTATACATGGAGCATGCGCCAATTGAACAAACGGCAATTTTTCACCGAGGTAAAAAGACTTAACATTTTGGCCAGCGGGCAGTATTCATTGTGAGTTGGCCCTCAATGTGTTTAGATGGCACACACACAATTTTATTTCCAGAATTTAAATCTGGTTGTTACTTTAAGTTTAAACAAGATGTCTAATCACTGAAGCAATGTAATACTGGAGATGTCAAATTTACGCTTGTCTTACAACTGGAAAATGGATTATCACATTGCAGGTGGCAAAACGGTTGACCAAATCATATTAACCGTTGTTATTAGCGTCTTTATATTACTGTTAAATTTATTTTATTTCATTGAGCCATTCACTCAGCTCTTGGGACCTTAAACTCTATAAACATACAAATTCTAAATATGCTTTGACAAGGCCTAAAAAAGCAGCAGAAAAAAATATCACTCAACACAATGTTTCCTTGTAGCTCGGCACAAGTTTTTTTTTTTACAATCACCACGTACGTAACTCCCCTACAGCAGACGCACGCATTTCAATTGACTTTACCGAGATTTAAATAACAAATATGCTGCTGCCGAAATGAACTTAACAACCATTTGCTTGCCAGTGTCCTCAAGAGTTATGATCAACGCATAGTATGCATTCAGAAAATCGTTTGTACGTAAACATATCACCGTTTCCTGTGAGAGGCTCGCAATTTACAGGACACATTGCTGAGACACTTTCCTGGGAGCTCATGCACGAGAAGTCAATCTATTGCTTTTTTTGCCATCATGTTTATTCAGCAGAAAAACCACAGCAGTGTGGTTACGTATCGCCGACACCTAAAGTTGTGCTCCTCCCCTTTGGAAAACGACACATTCCAAGCAGGGCGGTTCAACAAGGATTTCTGTTTCAGTGTTTTAAATCGTTGGAAGAAATATTACAGTATTTGGATTTGTCCCCATCTCACTAAGCAGCAAGCACCTTGTATGTAGAAACGGTGCAGAGTTGGTCATGGCAAGGGAACATGACATTTAATTCATGAATCAACAAGTTGGCGGTACCTCCTATTATTGACATGAAGAATAAAAAGTGGGATGACCTTTTCCAAACGACTGCATAATTTTCAACAAGTGACCAATAAACATTGGGGGTTCTCACTCCACACTGGAAGATGTGCTCAACCCAGAAGAACCATGGGATAAAGTGTTTCTACCGCAATTAAATTATTCTCCGCTCAGCAATGATTGCCAATATTTGTACTCGGAGTCAAGTACGGCCAAATAAAGTGCAAGCACCAATTTACTGGTTTATCAATGTTCTAACAAAATCTGATGAGTGTGACCTTATTAAAAACTTGTCAGAACTCAAATTGCAAAAAAAATATATGCCAATGAAATACCATAAACTACATTCCTGATAAAAAAAAAAATCCGTTGATAGTGTTATCAAATTACCATATCACAATCCAAGCCTGCACCTAACATGAAAACATCGTAAATAGATCACTACATCGCACATCACAACGCCAACGTTAATCCAAGAAGCATGTCAATTTCACTTGCCATAGTTTGAAACCAATGATCATTTGGTGCCAAGTATGTAAGGAGATTCACGATTTACATTGTGTTTTATTTAACAAAACAGCAGTTCCTCCTCCTTCCACCCAGAATAAAAACTTCAGGAATTTTTCAACACTTGGCCGGGGGTCACGGGCGTGTGCGTCCAGGTTTGTGTTCACGGCACCTGGGCGGACTTGAGAGAGAACATGTCGACACTAACGCTGCGAGTAGTTGTACCACAATCTCATTTATTTAGCACATTACTGCAGAGGGACACAAGGGGCTGTGATTGGCTGGCAGACAGTCCTGTAACACAGTTTATATGTACATGCCCCCCTACCAAGCAAGCCACTTTCCGCGCCTCAGCAATGGGTGGAAGTCGGCATCAATGCACAAGGGCTTTGGTTCTTGTACAAACGTAAATTCATCGGCAACAAAAAAAATAACAAAATAATAAAAAAACAATAACACTCCCCCAAACCATTTACAGCATTAACGCGATATCAAGGTCACATCACCATTTTAAAGGTGCACACATTTATTTCAGTTAAGCATAAAGGAAGGAAATATGCAGTTTTTTTTACAGTGCCTTCATTTACGTTCCATCATATATTTATACCAATCGTATTCCAAGGGCCTGCATGATTTACATTGTTTTCTTTCTTTTACAAGATCTTTACACTCCAGAAGCATCCGAGAGGGCACGGGTAAGAAGCAGCTTCTACAGGCGTCGTGAGAGAAAAAACTAGGGCTAGGAAGAAACCAGGAGGCGGAATTCATTTCTACATCCAAAAGACAGAGGCATCGGCAAATAAATGTGCGCGATATATCTATAATTCCTAACTATACAAATTAATACTTGAAACGTCTCCACAGACACTTATAGAAAAAGTTTAAATTCTTCCGGCTATATCTTCATCTTAGAAAGAATGACATTTTTTTGTGTACATTGACATGTTGCATTTGCCACAAATGAATTTGGACACGATACAACATGAATGCAAGAAAGACGGAGGAAAAAATATAAAATATGCATATTAAAAGTTCGTTGTTGAAAAATCAGTGTCCTTAGCAAAACAAAACGATCCACTGCGACCGGCTCATTCCGGCCAGCATGGAATATATTAGCATTAGCTTCCCACAAGAATTACATCCTCATTACTAAAGTTTCCTACGTAAATATTCCCATGTTTAACTGTACAAAAACAAAAGAAAAAAAAAATTTAAGTCAAGTCCGAAGGGTGTGTGTCCATCTCCACACGCAACACTACAACGTCTCCACAAACTTTTCCAGCTCGTCAGGCGCTGTCGGACCATTGCCCCCCATGTCCGACCCATCGGCCCCGAGGCCCATGTCCCCCGGCCCCAGGTGGTGTTGTCCCATGCCAGGCCCTGGCAGCTGTGGCAGCATGGCGCTCTGATCCGGCGCCGAGAAGTGTCCCTGCTGCTCCATTCCCGACGGCTGCGGCGGGCCGCCTGCCATGCCTGGGTGCGGGGAACTCGTCTGCGGAGAGACGTGGTGTGGCGACGGCTGTATCCGCGGCGAAGGGCTCGAGTGCGGAGGCTGTGACTGGGGCCGCGGCGACGGCACAGGCTGCGGCGAGCGCACTTGGTTGCTCAGTGACGTTGGGATCTGCTGGCCGGCCATATGCGCCGCTTGCTGCCCCGCCAGCATGTGCTGCTGCTGTGGGCTCATGGGCGTCGACTGGCCGCCGCCACTCGCTGCTGCGGCCGCCGCCACCAACTGCTGCTGCTTCATCTGAACCTGTAGCATCAGTCGCTGCTGCGCCTGGGTGATGGCCGTGGGGCCACCCTCAGGGCCCATGCCACCCTGCGTCATCCCGCTCATCATTCCCTGCTGCCCCATCTGTGTCGCCTGCATGCCCAGATGCTGCTGCATGCGCTGCTGCTGCTGCTGTTGCTGCGGCGTTGCCTGCTGCATGGTTTGCTGGTAGCTCGTGGGCTGCGGTGCCTGGAACTGCCCATGAGCGCCCATGGCCTGCTGCTGGTACTGTGCTCTCCGCATAAGCTGATACGATTGCTGCTGCCCCACCACGCCCGGCCCCATGCTAACGCCAGGGCTCATGCCCATGCTTTGCGCCTGCGGGTTCATACCCATGCCGGGCTGAGGGCCGCCAGGACGCATCGCCATTGCGTTTTGCATCCCCTGCTGCATCCCTGGCTGAGGCTGCATCCCCTGCTGCATCGCCTGCTGCATTCCCGGCTGCATCGCCTGCTGCATGCCCTGCTGCATACCCTGCTGCATGCCCTGCTGCATGCCCGGCTGCATTCCCGGCTGCATCCCCGGCTGCATGCCCTGTTGCAAACCCTGCTGCAAACCCTGCTGCAACCCCTGCTGCAAGCCCTGCTGCATGCCCTGCTGCATGCCCTGCTGCATGCCCTGCTGCAAGCCCTGCTGCATGCCCTGCTGCATGCCCTGCTGCATGCCCTGCTGCATGCCTTGCTGTGGCGGCATGCCCGGCTGCATGACAGGCTGGCCGGCCTGGTAGCGGGACGCTCGTTGCTTGATGAAGGCCGCCATCAGCTGCGGGTTGCTCTTGAGGATGTTGAGCACCTGCTGCTGCTGCTGCGGGGAGCTGGGCGAACGCAACGTGCGCAGCAGGTCCTGCAGCGCTGACGGCGGTATCTGGCCCCGCTGCACACCCTGCGTGGGGACCTGCATACTGGGGCCTACGCTACCACCCTGCGCCGCCACCATGTTCATCTGCTGCTGCGACATGCCCATCTGCAAGCCCGTCGCCCGCTGCATGCCCGGCTGCATCTGCTGGGTCGGCATGCCGGGCTGCTGCCAATGATGCATGCCCATGGCCCCTATGCCCTGCGGCAGCTGCTGCGGCCCGCGCGGAGCCGTCATATTTAAACCCAAATGGTTCATCGACGTCATCTGCTGGCCAGCCATCATCATCGGCGAGTTGCCCATTCCCATGCTGCCGTTGATGTTGGATGGCCGCGAGAACATGGACGGCGACTGCTGCGGTTGGGGCTGCTGCGGCTGCTGCTGCTGCTGTTGTTGCGAGGCTATGTGCCGCTGGTTATGCGCCGCCATCTCGATCTGCCGCGCCATCTCCACGGCGGCAGCTGGCGGTGCCTGTCCTGGCCCTGGCTGCCCCGTCGGCTTTCCGCCCGACATCCCGGGGGCTCCCGCTTGGCGTGCCATGCCGTTGTTGGCCAGCGTCACGTTGTTTGGCGGCTGCGAAAGGCCCTGCGGCACGAGGGCGGATTGCGGCGATTGCCCGACGGCGGGGCCTGGGGGCGTCTGCGGCACGGCCTGCGGCCCCGTCGGCGTGGTCGGCACCGAGCTCCCGCTGTTGCCCGTCGGCGAGGGCAGGCCCGCGTGCGGCGGCGTGACTCTCGGCGGCGGAGGCGGCTGCTGCTGCGTCACCTGGGTCATCGCGGCCATGCGCCGCCGCAGCATCTGCGCCTGTTGCAGGCGGTGCTGCAGCTGCTGCTGCCGCAGCTTGTGCTTGATGTTGAGGCAGAAGGGCACGGGACACTTGTTCTCCTGACAGTGCTTGGCGTGAAAGCAGCACAGCGCGATCAGCTGCTTGCAGATGGGGCAGCCGCCGTTGGTCTTGCGCTTGCAGACGCGCGTGTGCTGCACGACGCGCTTCATCTTGAGGCAGGACGGCAGCGAGCAGTTGGCGTTGAGGCACTGGCACGCGTGCACCAGCGACTGGATGCAGCGCTGGATGCTGAGGCGGCGCGACTCCTGCGGGTTCTGCATGGGCTGGTTGTTGCTGTCGTCGTCCAGGCCCAGGCCCCACTTCTCCATCTTGTGCTCGTGGCCTTTGGTCTTGTAGCAGGCCACGCACAGGTCGTAGTCCTGCAGGCACACGGCAAGGAGAGAAAAACGGATTGACCAACTAGCCCGAAAAGCCACTTGTGACCTTTAATTTGCACTTTCTTTAAGAACGCCTCCATTAGTACTTTGATTTTAAACCACTTTTGCCATGTGACATAACTCGTATATTTCTGTACAAGAGTAATATTTATTTCTCGAGAATTGAATACACACACACTAATCAATGCGGCATCAACGGACGCTACATTTTCTACCAGTAACCATCCTTTTGATTTACTGCTAAGAGTAACAAGGTTAGCGCCGAACAGGGGAAGTAAATACCAACACACATGCACAAAAACTGAGGCCAATCAGACTCCAACACAAAATGATAATATCGACAAAAAGTCTCGCGCGATGGCGGACGAGAGACCGTCGCCCCCTCTTCGCTTGGTCTACGCACCTCGCACACGGTGCAGTGGTAGCGCGTCTCCACGTGGTGCTTGCACTCGTTGCAGGTGTACACGAAGCGGTCCTGCCCCTGGTTGTGCAACTCCACCAGCATGCACATGGTGGACCACTTGGCGCGGCGGAGCGACGAGAACTCGTAGTGCTTGTCTCGCGCCATCGTCAGGAAGGCGTCGCGCCCGTCCATGAGGTCGCACGTCACCAGCGGATCTGGGTCCTGGATTGGCGGCACAGAGTTTGCCGCCGCCGGGGGATGTAGCCGGATGACGAAGAACACCTGGAAGGGAGGACAGAACATGGCAGACGAGGCGAGTTGATGCAGGTCACGAGGGAAGCGGAGATTGGAGTGGAAGCCTCCAAGTGGGAAGGGCTTGTTGATTAATTCATTTAAAACGTTCACAGCAATTTTCACCGATTACATCCCAATTGTAATTCCATCACGAGTACAATACGGATTGAACATGAAACAAACGCGTATCTGGCAGGGGTTTGGGATTTCAATGTAGAACCCACCTAAACCACCCCTTATCAACCCAGGCACGCATACTCACCCAGCCAACCGTACCCAGAGAGAGGTCTGACAATAACATCTATTTGAATGTATAAAGCGTATTAATACAGCACCCATACCCATACTCTTTGGGTCTTTCGGTAAAGTCACCTAGATAGAAAAATATCTACGCGACTGTACCGAAAGACCCAAAGACTATGAATTCCTGCAGTCACGAAAGCTTTAAGTCAACCCATACCCATCTTACGCAGCCCAACCCCATAACCATCAACACACACCCCAGCCACTCTTACCCACCCAGCCACAGACTTACCTCCTTGTGTTTCTCCATGGTGGCGTACAGCTTTTGAGAGAGGTCGTTGGACACGCTGGGCATGCCCGGCTTTTTCTTGCTGGTGCGGCTGCTGCTACTCTTGCTCTTGCTTGTCTTCTTGTTGTTCTTCTTCTTGGCGTTTTTGCTATCTCCCTTTTTCCCCTGCACAATCAGCGCAAACGAAAAAAGTGCGTGACGCTCTCAGAACGCAAGAGCGCGGGCGCAGACGTACAAGCTGGGGACCTCAAGCAGAGGCGTTGTGTGGGACCTTCAAACATCGGCAACGGCCCAACGACCGCCACCGAGCGAGCGGTCCCTGCCCATCGTACCATACGGCCCTCACCTCGGTGCTCTCGCACGATGCACTCGTCTCCTCCCGCTTGCGCTCCTCCTCCTCTTGCTCCAGCTCCTTGATGCTCTCCTCCAGCACGTTGGGCCAGAAGTCTCCCTCAAAGTAGGGCAGCTCCTTGGCGCTCGTCAGCCGGTCATCTGTGGCCTGCTTCAGGATGTCCTGCACCGTGACATCGCCAACGTACCGGGTTAAAATCAATACCGCAAGATAAAAAAATGTATCCAACGCGGCTCGTGCAATTCAGGCGCCGAGGACTGACGCACATTCAATTGGTGCTTAAAGGTATAACCCACATTGTCAGAGGTTAACATGCTCGCATGAGCCTGGGGTTGATGGGCACGCCTTGTTGTTCGTGCGTCGCTGCATTACCTTGTAGTCATGGACGATTCTCTCAGCCACTGCCTTGTCCAGCATCTTCTTGTACCATTCTTGCAGGCGCTTAGGCTTGGGTATCCTCTGGTCTGGCGGGTGGCAGTGGAAGATGTAGTCGTCGCCCTCACTGGGTGGGCACGCCCAGATATGACCCTGGGTATAGCTGTGGACACATCCACACGTACACACACACGATCTGAGTCAAGGTTGTGCCCATCGGAACCAGAGAGAACATTCAGCTTTTCTGCTGGCATAATCACAAGTTATACAAGGGTTACTACATTGTAATCAACATCTCTAGGCTGCAATTAGAATTATAACGGGCTGCGGCATGTAAAACCGCCAAATTGGATCGCCTAAATTAACAAACATCTTGCCGGTTGACAGGTGTTGAATACTTACCGAATAGCATTTGCCAAAGGGTAATGCAAGACTCAAAATTCCCCACAATCTCCCAACGGATTTGACAAGCTCACGGATGCATTCGACTTCTAGACGAGAGGATGTTTCTCCTTTGCCCCCACACTCACCCAATTCGACTTCTAGACGAGAGGATGTTTTCTCCTTTGCCCCCCACACTCACCCAATTTTCTTGACGTACTCCAGGTAGCCAATGAGGATCTCGTGGTAGACAGCTGTGCGTAGGTGTCGCGGTCGGAAGAAGTGCACACTGTCCAGGTACGATATGTACACCCGCCTAGCAAAAAAGGACGACCAGACATGCACGTGTTATGCCTAGGCTCAACAGATGGGGATAGTCAAGTGAGCTCTGATTATGGCGAATACGATGCGCAAGGAGGTCACGTAGATTATAGAGCTGGCCCAAATTATAACAGCTATAATTACTGGGCGATCTGTTTTATTGATACTCCGTTAAAACGATATTTTATTTCCAAGCCTCTACATGTCCCCCACCAATCTCAATACACAAACTTCTCAAAACTCTTCTGATACACTTGGTCCAACATCACTGGTTTGTCATCAATCACCTACTGCACAAGGCCAGAGTCTAGTACAGTCGGTGGGGGTTAAGGCGATTAATTAAGCTTAATTGACAGCACGTGGCCTTACCTCTGATTGGGTGGTGGACAGTCGGAGCCGTACTCCTGGACGTGCATCCCAAAGAAACAAACGTCGACGCCGTCAATCTCCTCGAAGGCAAAAAGTGCTTTAGCTCGGTAGGGGAACGAGTCTGCCATCTCCCCGTTGTCCACAAATCTAGCGCAAGTGCAGAGGGCGAAACACACACACACACGATCAGCTTAGAGGCGATCAGGCTTCTACATAATGGTAAAGTGCCAACACATTGGATACAACATATTAAGCCTTTTAAAATATGAATTACAGGTTTAAGCATTCTTGTGAAGAACAAATGCATTACATTGTAGTGCCATCAAATACCATATAGGCAATGCTCATCACCCCACACCCAAAATGTGTCGACCAGTTTCCAAGAGATTTACACAACTATTTTCCAGATTGGTCACCGCCGTATCCACACACCTCGCCTTATATTAATCAGCTAATGTATGGTGTGGTGCCATCAAGTTTATCACGAGAATGCCAGTTGTGTTATAATACATATTTGCTTCCGATGGCCGAGCTAAAATGCATAGAGAGCAAACCCGAACGGGCACCGCAGGGCGACCACACCGCTGCTGCTGCTGCTGCCGCCCGAGAACTCACCTGGCTTTCATCCCAGGTTTCACCTCCACCGTTTTGTCGGAGACATGCACCACGCGCACGGTCACCTCGCCCGCCTCCGGGCAGTTCTGCCGTCGCAGGAAGTTGTTGACGCGATTCTCAAGGTGAGTGCCCAGTTTGGATGTCGGCAACCCCGCATTCAGGCCTGTCAGGCGGAGGAACAGTTATAGCAGCTGCCGTAACTCGACTTCATCTCGTAAGCCAATGGTATATATCATGCACTGCAATGTTAGCAGGTATGGTGGGGGTTGGAGCCGCCAAACCCCGACACATACGGCTACCTCGGTGGCAAATTCGCTCACCAGCAGATTATCCAGACACCCGGGGTTATTGCGGACATTCGAAAAGAATCCGGATTAAAATCAAAAGCATACCAATTAGAGGAATTAAAAACCATTACTTGTGACGTATGCCATACTCAAAAAACGGATTAACGTGTTTACTGAGTGAACAAGAGGCAGGGTGTGTGAATCAAAGCCGTGTTACAACACCGCTGATGCACAACAAAGTTTTATGCTACAGAATTTACACTTGTAATATTTCAACGAATATCAGTGGCCCTGTTAACATGGTCCTTCCCAACTCTATATATGGTGAGCTGTGTGGCACATGAAGCTCAACAGGATCTGCTCATTCGCCGTTGGAACGCATCTCAGAAGCAGCACTGTCTTTGGGGAGAAGAGATGAATCGCAGGATCACACTGTCGTGGTCATCGCACTCCACTTACTTTTAGAACAAAACTTGTTTTCTTTCCTCGTTCTTCCCGTTTTCTTTAAACAAGTGTCACAAACAAAGCTGTGGGCATAACAGGAGGGTATTTCAATAAGAGGTTACCGCACAAATCGAGCGTAAATATTGCACACACAAACCACATTTTAATGTAATCACAAATAAGAAATGTTCAGCTTCATGGGGAAGGGGGGGGGGGGGGGGGCGAGACGTTTTTATTTTAAAAGAAGCCCAAGGCATCACTCACCCGGCTGGCCAAATGGTCTCATTGTGGAGCGCACAGATTTGGTGCAGCTTTCGTCCACACTCCTTACACTCGACAAACCTGCAACAGCAAGCACGCGGCAAACAAGGTTACACAGGGACAGGCAGGTCCGGTGGTGGATGTGCAGCAATTACAAAGAAAGTGCATGACATGATGGATGGTAACTGGTGCCGGAAGTGGGCAGGGGGGCGTGTACTCACGGCTCAGGATCAAGAGTGTCATTTTTCTTCTTCTCAAACTGGTCCTTGTTAATGGTCCTGTAAGAAACGGTGCAGCAGGGTTACACACACAGGAACATCATGGGCTATGCCCAGCTATAAGGCCAGGCAGGTTCCCCCCCCCCCCCCCCCACCACACAGCCACCATTTACATCGAGGTGGTAGAACACTCGAAGGGTAGTAAAAAAAATCTAAAATATATTCAGATTCACCATTAACTTCTCTTATTTGCAATATTGTAAATCCTGACATTAATGTAAACAGTTTTACGTATTATATTTAGTGCATACACATGAAGCGTACAAATCTCTTTCATCATCTGTTTAAATGTAAAAAATGTGTATTTAAACACGACTCCTATTGACTTCCCCTGGCCAAGTTACTGGTGGGGTTGTATTTTGATCTCCAGGGTCCTGATTTAATACACTAGAAAAATGTTACGGCACAAACGTCGGTAATTGTCAACAGCTATGCATTTGTGACCAACTGTGGTAACTTCGTGAAATAAATACAGCGATAATTCTGTCAGGGTCAATGAAAACAACGTGTGCAAAAAATAAGCCTGAAAAACAATGATTGGTCTAAAAAGCACACAACCTCGTGTAATTACTGACACCTGTCCGATCTTATTGGAAGTTTCCACCCCAGGTGCCCACTAGGGGGAGCAACGACCACAAGGCCAGATTTAGGCAGCTGCATATATTTGGCAAAAGAAAATGGCGCAGCAACCGTCCACAAGAATTTCGAGCAGCGATTGCCTAAAAACAGACCTGGTCATCAATGGCATTTGCCGTGTGCCTTGTCGACTTAAAATAACATGCAAATGTGTGGATGCAAAGGATCCCCATGTTCACACATGTCAGTGCGTGCAATTGGTCAGTGGTCAGTGGTGTTCCTGTTGCCATGGCGCGCACACAAGAGCACTGGACTTTTAATTTAAGGTGCTGCTGGCCACTGGGAAGTAGGCCAAAATTACAGGCAATTCAGAAGGCTGGGATTGAACTGATCGTCTGTGGCGTGGCTCCATTAAGCTGTACCATCTGTTTACAATGAGACGGAATTTATTTTATTCAATGCATTTGTAATGCTCCGGTATTCCTTTAAAGCTGCAAACCACTTTTTTTTTGCAACAGAACATTTCAACATGGTAATTGCAGTCTTGACACTACCACACAAACTTATAAAATATTCTAAACATCTTGTGCTATGCACTCAGAAGAGCACTTCGAATTCCCTGCTGCCAGATGCATGTGTATATAAGCCCAGGCTTTTTGCCGTAACATAGACTTCCCCATAAGGTTGTCAGCCAATAGACCATAACGGAGCAAAGTCTGATGTTGATCAAGTTGACTTAATCAACACCTCAAAGACAATGGTTCCATATCCCATCGAGGGCCTTTACCAACCATGCCCACCCAACGAACCCATACAAGTGTGAATTAAACAGACACAAAAATACAGGTAGTCCCCGAGTTACGATGCTCCGACTTACGATATTTCGATCTTACGATGGCGATAGCGATACGACAAAATTGCCATCAACAACCTAACATCGTTCAAGTGTGCAGACGACGGACAGAATCTTGGTGAGTACAGGACAATATGATACGCTACGATACGTTCAATGCATGTATGATACGTAACTTTAGCGATTTCATTTTAGGGTTACCACGATACGATACGTTCAATGCATTTTAAAAGTTTTTATAGCAGATAGGATTGTTTCCTGAAAAAAACGTTTCTATTAAATTGCAGTTCATATAGGTAGGCTAAGGATTTACCTTGTTTCTTTTTTACTTTAAAATTTACTGTGCAATACAGTATTGTAATTAATAAATACATACAGTATATAGTTTATATAGTACGGCACTGTAAATTGCTCTGTTTTGCGAAATTATCACCATTCTTTAAGACTCCTGGGCAGGCTAGGCCATCTTCAACTTACGATATTTTAGACTTACAATGGGGTCGTCGTAACGCATCTACATCGTAAGTAGAGGACTACCTGTAAACGCCTCATTCTGGCACAAACTCCCCCCCCCGCACTCCCCAATAATCCAAAGCAAAGGCACAACCCCCCACCCCAACACATGCAGCACACACCAGTCTGAGAACTTACGTTTGCGGCTGAGAGGGATCATCCCCAAGGGATACGGTATCCCCTTGGATCTCATTGAAGCACTTTTCACAGTAGTGATACCTGTCAGCAATAAGGCCATATTTGGGTGAACTGTCCGCCCCAACAGAACACAGCCAACGCGGCGGCAACGAAGCCAAGCAGGGGAGGGGTGGCGGGCGGCGACGGCGACCGGCACAAACCGACGGGGGAGGGTGGGGGGGCAGGGAGCGATTGGTTGATGAGGTTGCAAGTGGGAGGAGGGCAAGGGGGGGGGTGGGGAATCATTTTAGGGGGGTCGTGAAGGGGGCAATGCGTGCGGTTTTTTTTTGGTGGGGAGGAGGAATAAGGGGCGTGTAAAATACAAGGGTAGTGGGTTGTGAGGTCGGGAAAAAACAAATGGTACGCACAAAGGGGAGACGCAACACAAAGACAAACACAGAGCAGAGAGCCAAAGCAAAGCATTAGATTAGCAACTGATTTCAAAATTAACACGTCGATCAAGTCACATTACAATGAATTCCACCCGTAATCAACCGCCACTTTCCATCGATTCCTTGACCAAGCAATCAAGATAACGAATATCATTAACGCCATCGTGGCTTTTGATTTACTGTGATAATTTTCTCAATTTACTCTTGCCATGTAAATTATGGTTATAATTTGTTTAACAATACAAGCAGGACTTTACTTCTTTAAAAGTTTACACGTTAAAGAATTCGCTACCATAATCAGCAGTGAAGCGGATTCTTAGTACGAGATTGCAAAGCGAAGCAGGAAATGGTAAAAATACAAAATGCAGCAAGCATGGGGGGAGCTTGAACAAGAGGGGCACAGGACAGCAAGTTTGGGGGGGCGGGGGGGGGTACGGTTTAACCCTCAAGCCAGCAGCCATTTATAAAAAGCAAACCAAGTCTTTCCAACGTTCATTTCGTGTCAAATAATACTCCTGGATGCGAGGGCTAATGCCTCTTATCTCGCTGAGCAATTGTTCATCCGAAGTGTAGACTGATTGAAATAATAGATGCAACAGAGTGTTGCATACAAAGGTTTAGGAGCCTGTTCTGTGGCTGATACAATTTTCAAAATGCACGCGCTTGCTTGGGGGAAGATTTGGGCTTGAGCAGCCCTAGTTGAACCAATAGGATTCCCAGATAAACCACAAAGGCATGTCCATCACAACACTTCACATCATTTTAGAATATCACCAATGGCCTTTGTATACAAGAAATTACAAGCAACGACTACCAATTTGAAGTGTAGTGTCACCGTAGAATTGAGTAGAGATTGGAGATTATCTGTGCGCAACTGAATGGATTAACTGCAAATACGCTTGTTTGGCCTTTGTAGGAGGAAAACACAATTTTAGAAATGTGAGAAATTAAAAGGTTTCCCGAGCAGCCAGTGGAACAGGTTAGAAGAAGTGGTGGCTGGGGTGGGAAGGGCATGGACAGAAAAGGGAAATCAGTCGGAAGGATAAATGCATGGACTGGAAAAAGCAGGCAGGTGACAAAGAACCACAGAGGTTACATCTGTAACAGCAAGACCACATCCCCCCCCCCCCCCCCGTGTCTCCTCGTACAACTGAAGCGAACGAGAAGCTTGCAAGGTTAGGCAGAGGATGAGCAGTCTATCCACGGAAGATAACGTTGCATCAGAGATCCTGCACAGAACACCTAGAGAGTCACGTTGAAAGGGTCGAAACGTCGCTGCACTATTTGACGAGTTGTTTTACCCTTGCACATACAACCCATAGTGCCAAGCTATTCCTTTTATCATTTTTATTAGGATATGCTCGGTACAGTTTAAGTTTTTTAATTTCAAGGACTGCAATTGTGTAACTCGTGCAGTTTGCATCACCATCATGTGTCCATTGTGTTGTGTGGCCATGATGGGATAAAAAAACATCTAAATAAATTACACTGGCAATTATAAGGTTTTGTAAAATGTTATCACTGTGGTGCAATGGCCTTATCCTGCAAAGGACGTCACAGAATATTTAACATTTTCTATATCAGGCAGCGCTCATTTGGTAATGCCAAACCAAAATAGCTGTGACCCTTTGAAACCTTGCTGTGTAGAGAACATGCTTAGCATGAGGTTTATTTTTTTATTAATCTGCACAAATATCAAGTGGCATAGAAGTCGGGTTTATTCACTTTCCACTTTCTAATTGTGTGAACTCGGAAAAAGTAGACATCACAACGCGTGCACTGCACCTGCAACGGCTGTCCACAGAATTATGTCTCATAAAAGTGACAGGCTTGTGGTGGTGCAAACACAATTCTGCAAGGAGCCCTCTCTACATCTTGCGGAAGAGATATCTTCCCATCCCTTTCTTTCTCCCACATCTGCAAGGCAGTGTTCCATCTGCGGTAGGATTTAAAGACCGGTTTGGTGCAGACTGATAAGGATAGGTTATAAATCAAGTCTCATGCTGCAAGAGAGAGGTTAGTGGAAGGGAAGACAAGGAGCTGCCAGCAGAAATAGGAAAGGCTTAAGAGCAAAGACTGAATGAGAAAAAAGAAAGAAATGCCATTTTTCAAAAACCATCCCACAGCTTTTGCAGTTCACCCATTCTACACTGGAACATTTGGGCCCCATTTGCAAGTGCTAATTGTATAACCAATCATCTGGCCCACTTCTGTGGAAGAACAAAAACTCAGCAAGTGTCAAAGTACGTGGAACACGGCGGTTCTTGTCTTGAACTACTGGCAAAAAACAAAACGTGTTAGTTCTGCTTTTAATTTTACAGTTATTATTACGACCACGATGTAATTAGCTTTTTCAACTATTATTAATAGTAGCAGTTAAACATTGATTGTGTCGATTGCGTACATCACAAAGCTCAATTTAAACAATACTGCTAAATATAGGCCCACCTCAATGTAGCTGCACAATGCTTTGTCAGACTTTGTTTTGTTGAAAGTCAACATGGCAGCAGCCTTGCTGCTTTTGTTCGGCACCAAATGTGCGCACGTAACATTGTTGGGAGCTCCCAACGACGACGCAAACTAGCAGGCAACACTCGTGCCGTTTAGTCGGCGACTGGCTTTGTGGGCGGGGGACGGAGACAAGGCACGTGAGGGGGGAACCACCCTGTGCGGCGCGCGCTCACCTGTTTTGGTAGCTGAAGTAGGAGGCGTCGCGGGGGATCGTGCACAGCTGCTTGCCGTAGCAGCACAGCGTTTGCGGGGAGAACTCATACTGAAACGACACGGCACGGGGAAAACAAACCCACGGCATCAACGATGCGGCACCACGATCACTGACGCCGCCACCTAAAAGTCATCGAGTTGAGGTGGCGTTGTGGACAAATTTGTAGGCAAAGAGCTCCGCACCGTGCGAAGAGAGTACGGGCACAATCATCGCACTCACCTTGCGTCCACAGCAATAGCCCAAGCTTTGCATGACGGGGTCGATCTCCTGTTCGAACACCTCGGCCAGCTTGGAGCAGTACTTGTAGACACGCGACGTCTTGCGGTTGTAGAGCCAAGCGTTGTTGAACATGAGCCACACGTCGTCCACGTACTGCCATGGCTCCTGGTACTGCCCCGTGTCCAGTTTCCGCTTTATTGTCGACAGGTCCATTGGGGTCTTGACGATGTCAAAGTAGTCCTGCCGACACGGCGGCAACGCGAGAGTGAAGGGTGCGCTCGCCCAGCTCGGCACGCGACTCGGACGCGCTCAACACGCCACGGGCAAAATAAAGCCGTTATAGAATAACAAACAAAAGCACCAATATCAAGAAATATCAAGCATCCGAAAAAACCATCGCGATGGCTATGCAATCTTATGTTTGAGCAAAGTGAATTCTCATGAACCCATAAGCGTCTGGATAACAGCGCGAGTCAAATTAAGTACGTACATGAGCAGAAATAACTGCATCCAGTTAAAAGGCTGCAAAAAGTTGTGCAGTTTAATCAGCGAAAGTGTTATAGATTCACTTGTAGGTTGAGAAATTTAAATGTGATTGAGGGAATGGCGTACAAATCAAGCGCTCAATTCCTTGACAGCGGCAAAACAGCAGCACGATCGCAACGCACTCACTACCCTCCACACTGCACCACCTGGGGGCCAAAATGTATACAACCGTATAAGGTAATGCTAATCCGTCACCACTAGCAATTTCATAATTTGGTGCGTTTCTGTTAAAGAAACGTGGCTTTACGGTGTCTGGGTGGTTCACATGTCACTCAGAGCAAACACAGCCAGGGGGCATGGGTTCGGGCGAGCAATTGAAAACAATTAATGAGCTTCACGCACATGCGCCTTCAGCACATGGCTAGCAGGCCGTCAACAGTCGAGCCGGATTTGTCGATACCACGATTGCCTGGTACCCAATACGCAAAATAAGGAGCAGCATTTTGCTCAAGTCTCCGAATACACGGGCATTATATTTCACGGGCATGAGTCACTCGGGACCAAAACAAGCTGTGGCTTCTTTAAAGACACGTTTTTTTTATAAAGGACCTCAAACGGTCGGTACGTAAAATGGCCGAAGGGCACAACGTCCTCCCCCCAACGAATTGCACAGAATCACGACGAAGGCTGAAGGGGATCATCAACTTTTCTGCAGCAGAACTGGTACCACCATTGTGGCCAGCAGATGGCAACACAAACGTGCGTTCGGCTTGAGCGTGGCTTATCACGGAGAGGACCTTTAATTTGGAGCCTTAAAATCAACTGTCGCGCATAAAGTTGCCGGTCAAGAAATGTCCGTAGGCACTTGTGGGGGCGTTAACGGCTTCATTTGGCCTTTATTTATTTATTCATTTTAAACTATTTTACACGTGTAGCATCATGTAGCGATTTTGCAATTGGAACTTTCCAACACAGTTTTAGCTCGCTCCGTATAATAATGGTACAAAATCTCCCGTGGCTGTGTCTTACCGTTTCGCAGAAACGCCAAAAAAATTTGATGACACATGCGCGCACACACACACACGCACACACAAACAGTAAAGCTGTAAGCGGGCTAGCTGGGACTTCATTTCCGTTCTTCTGACGTACTGAAAACATGTCAAGATGGGCAGATTATCTTCAGGTGACATTAATGAAGGTGGAGTATGAATGCCAATTAATGTAAATAAAGCAACTTTTAATATCTTAAATCTGCAAAAACAGAGGTTGAAGAAACAAAAATCAAATCCCAGCAAGCTTTGGGTTATTGCACACGACAGAGGTAGTGGAGCAACGAAGGGATCAAGAACTGCAATGGAAGAGTTAAGGCATCACCAGCATAGATTTTCAAAGATTTTAAGCAAGGGCTTAAATAGGGCAACATAGCAGCACCAGCAGTTTTTTTTTTTACAAATGGCTCACGGTAACAAACGGCCTTAAGTTTATACGAATTTGGTACATAAATACCGGTTGACATGCACACACACACACATTCAGCACCGAACAGCGATTTAATCGGCGCACTCATTTTAAATGATGCTATGTTCAGTTTATATCCATCACTACAGTTTTAAATGGAATCCATAATAGAGGTTTTGGTCGCCAAAGCCTAAATGTTACACATTTAAATGGGATATCGCTTAAGTTGAAGCTGAAACTTCCTTAAAATCTAGTGCGTGGGGGTGGTGGTAAAACCAAGTGAAGAGACTTTGGGTCTATACATCAAGGTTTCCACACGATAGCTTTGAATGCTACCACCAATAGGAAACTCAAAAGACAGTTATTATGCATTTAATCCAGGACCCAAACTTCTGTCAAATTGTGTTCACTTACAATGCACTAACAGTGACGACAGGGGTTCACCCCCGAATGCCCGCACCGATCTAAATTTGGGTTTACTTTTGGTTCTTTTCATTGCAGCCATCTTTGAGAGGTCTGAAAGGAATGAGCTCTGCCACACCCCTGGACAAGGTTAAGAGAGGGGGCAGCCTTTATGGGCAGTAGTGGCAGCTAACACAGTAAAAAGTGGAGCGTTCATATTTGGCAAAGGCAAACTTCCTGGGTGCATGGCTTTCTCACAACGATGCTTCTCCTAAGGCTGCAAACTCTCCGACACATGTCCACTACAATTAATAGGTGCAAGCACTACAAGAATAACAGGTGTCCTTTGCGGTTCATTGAAAAGCTGCTCGGGTGCATGCGGGTGTGATGAATAGAGATGTACACGCACTCATGTACACAAGGTTGGTGTCAGGTGAGATTGCACGAGAAGCTAGGCAAGGCATCCGAGCAAAAAGTGGGGGTTGGGTGAGTCACGTGGAGATTTAAGTGCCACACTTATATGCCCAAAGTCCAGGTTCTGCACGAGTTTGCGGGTTTCCCAATGCGGTAACTAGGTCGTGGTTTAATGAACAAGCAACACTATGCATTTTGAATTAACCACTGCGACAAGTTAAACTCAACCAAGTTCGGGAAGCGTAGATAAAATCTCCCGATTGTTAAGGCTCGTGGCGCAGCGAGGGGGTGAGGTGGATTAAACAATATCAGGCCTTACTCAAATGCCCCAAGTCAATTAATGAAATTTCCCCCCTGTGATAACACAGGGTTCTCTAACAATTACCAACAACAGCTCAGCCAGTTTTTCCCAGACTTGTGGGTGGCATAATTTAAAATTGGGCAGTTGCCTTCAGAAGGATTTTCTAAAATGCCAGGCTTTGTGGTTGGATGGATACACACAGCCGTGTGCACAGGTGCATTGATGGATGAAACCCCTTGTTCAGAAACAGGTGAGTCATCTAAGCTGCATTGCAATAAATTTTGCTTTTTAGCAAAAGCTCTGCTGAAGAGCTTTCGATAAAAGGACATTCTTAAGGAAGGGAGAGTGGCACTTCCTTTGACATAATCTAAAATAGAAAATCTCTCATTTGCAATTAAGTACTCGAGCAATGGGAGCAATGAGTGTCTCTAGCTTTGGAACAAATCCTGTGGGGAGGGTGCCAAGATGATGATGATGATTGTGACTGTGACGTGCAAAGTGTAACTCACGGGAATCCCCAGTGCCTGTGGGTCCACGGGCTGACGGAAGGGCAGGGACTCGGGGTCCTGCCGGTACAGGGCTTCCAGTGTGGGCATCAGAGCCTGCCGTAGCTCCTCGGGCTTAAACACTGCACGCCGGTGGCACACGAACGCATTTCCGTTAGGAACGCCGCCAAGCACCGCCTAGGCATGTACTGGGTTGGGGCAAAGGCGACGCAATCCAAATGTCATCCTGTGGACATGCACCCAAGGTGTGTGTGTGTCTGAAGGGAGCATTAGTGATTTTAAAGTCTTTTTTCCTCAAAAATTAAATTTTTAACTCATGTCAGACAGCAAGGGACACAGCGCAAATACATTTCTACTAGGCAGGTATATTCACTCAAACATCCCCCAACGATTCAACAAATTGTCACGATTGAATTCAAGATAAATCATATTTTGGCTTGTTCATATTGTCTCATCATTACCCAAAGAAACACGATTAGAAAATAAGTAGGAAGTAAAATTGAACAGATTCTCAGATGCATTATTTGATGAATTTATCCTGATATCAGGAATTAATTACAACCTATGACTAATTACATGACTGGCATCAATAACACAAGAGCTCCTTGTTCTTTTAAGTCTCGTCTTCTGTTAGCAAGCACAGCAGCGAAGGAAGGCAACGGTCCCAGCTTTGGGCACGATGTAGGTAACGTATGTATATACTGCATATATGTATGCACAACTTTTTCTGCAACGTACGTAGCCAACCGTGCTAATTGGAGGTAGGCGAGGGGTGGGGGATGCCGTCACCTTTCTTGGGTCGTGGCTGGGGTGTGGCGGGCGAGGGCTGTGGCCCGGTCGATGAGTTGCTCGACTCGGAGCTCTCCTCCTTCACCTCCATCTTGATATCGGGCTTCTCGTCCACCTCGCTCGGCTCCATCTTTTCCACCTCGCCGTCCACCTCCTCCCGAATCGGCTGCGGACGACGGATGGACAGTGGTCAGCATTGCAGGCTACAGACGCCCGTCATCGGGGACTCGAGCACCAAGAGCCGCACTGTTGTTTTGTTTATCAACACAGTCAAAGCCTAGTGATGGGACCAACTGCTAAAACGTGAAATGCTTTGAGAGAAGCGAACAGCTTGGTTTTAACCAAGTGGTGTTCGGCATGTCCAACGTTTCGTTCCCAGCAATTCACATCCTGAAGCTCCCAGAGCATGAGAGTGAAACGTCAGAAGTCGTGCCAAACAACAAGAATTACAACCCAAAAATACGTCGGATAGCGTTAATGCACAACCGCAATAAGCTACGTAAAGTAGCTTTTATTTTGGAGGTATGTACCCAAGCTGTGTGTTCTGGGCTATCCGAAATATGAGAGACGAAGCTGTGTTACTGAGAAAAAATTTGGGAAAATGTTCCATCAGTGTTCTTGTGATATTGCTGCTCTGATTTTACATTAAAGCGTATGGGCAATCCAGGGATGTCACTATGCCACCAGTGATGAACCTGACAGGACGTTAATTTTAAGAATTAATTAACTTCAAACTTGCGTTGAACAGCCCAAAAAGCATGGATCTAAAAGGTTGAATCTTCTTTTAAGCAACAAAACATCACAGGAAACGAACGTACACCTAAGGTCCATCAGGTGCAAAGATACAAAACCTGCAGAGAAATACCCATTAAGGATTTTCTACATGACTTTGACAAGCATAGTTACTAAAATACACAAAAATCTATCCCTCAACCACTGAGAACTGTCATAATTCATGCTCACGATTTCACTGAAAACTATGTCATCTTACATCACATTCATTTCTTTTCTCTTACTTCATTCGACAAAAACGTCATTTCAATTCTTAACGTAAATTTTGATTTAAAGCTTTCGTGACTGCAGGAATTCATCTTCTTGGTTCTTTCGGTATTTCCCTTCTACGTGACTTTACCGAAAGAACCAATAAGATCTTAACGTACAATTAGACTTGATGCGGGTAACACCGCAATTCAACATTTTTAATCCGCAAATCCATATCGACAGCGTCTAGCAGTGGCGGCACCGCTATACCTTAACGTCGGGCTTCTCGTCGGGCTGGGCGGCACCCTCGCTGGCGCCCTCCTCCATCTTTATCTCCATCTTGATGTCGGTGGTGGCGGCGGTGGCGGCTGTGGGGACGTCCGTGGGCACGGGCTGCGAGCCTCCGTCCGACGCGCTGCCCGCCGATGCCGGGGTGGCCACCTTCACGTCGGCGGCGCCCACGCACGACTGTGACATCTAGGGAGGCAGGAGTTGCCGAATTAAGTAACAGGATTTCGATTTAAAGCGTTCGTGACTGCAGGGATTCATCTTCTTGGTTCTTTCGGTAAAGTCACGTAGAAGGGAAATAATAAAATAATAAAAATAAAACAATAAAATTTCGATTTAAAGCTTTCGTGACTGCAGGGATTCATCTTCTTGGTTCTTTCGGTAAAGTCACGTAAAATGGAAATAATAAAAATAAAACAAAATAATTCTCACGACGTTTCGGCCACAACGCAAGTAGCAAGTAGGACGGCTACTTGCGTTGTGGCCGAAACGTCGTGAGAATTATTTAATGTTTAATTTTTATTATTTTATTATTTCCATTTTACGTGACTTTACCGAAAGAACCAAGAAGATAAGCAACAGGATGTTCGCGTTGGGCGTGCATCGATGGGCACAATAAAGTCAATTCTTAGGCATCCAAGGCGATTATCCAAGAGGATTTTACGAGGACAGGTTGAAGTTAATGGATATTCTGATGGGCAAATTGCATTCAAAATGGCTTGCAGAATAGTTGTTGGCCGTTAAATAAGTTCCTAAATGGTTGCATAAAAACAAACCATTCAATGCAAAGTGAGTTACGAATGCCATTGCTCCAAACAAAGATTTACCACCTGGCTACATCTTCTTGGTTCTTTCGGTAAAGTCACGTAGAAGGGAAGTAATAAAATAATAAAAATAAAACATAATAAAACAATTCTCACGACGTTTCGGCCACAACGCAAGCAGCCGTCCTCAGGTGAAAACCAGGTCCGTCGAGGCGACAGAGTCTGAATGAAACAGCACACGAGCTTGGAGCATATATATAAGCTGGGCGCATTGACAAAGGAATTTGCATATCAAAAGGAATTTAGCATATTTATGGGAAATGCAGGAATGTGATTAGTACTGCATATGCATTATGCAGGATTAACAGCATCAAAGGGAGCTGCAGTTACTGCTGCTGCTGCAGTTGCTGCTGCTGCAGTTTCTGCTGCTGCTGCAGTTGCTGCTGCAGTTGCTGCTGCTGCTGTTACTGCTGCTGCTGCACTTGCTGCTGCTGCTGCAGTTGCTGCCTTATCCATTTTAATATAACACTATGTATTATTCTACCCACCCTAATGTGTATCACACTGCTATATGTTTACTATACAATTACGACACCATACATTACTCTGCACACTGCACCATGCCAGTGAGTGGAACGCGGTCTGAAAGTCACCGTAAACGTGAACACAATCAGTTAAGATCCGAATCTTAACTGATCAGTTAAAATCCGAATCTTAACTGATCAGTTAAAATCCGAATCTTAACTGATTGTGTTCACGTTTACGGTGACTTTCAGACCGCGTTCCACTCACTGGCATGGTGCAGTGTGCAGAGTAATGTATGGTGTCGTAATTGTATAGTAAACATATAGCAGTGTGATACACATTAGGGTGGGTAGAATAATACATAGTGTTATATTAAAATGGATAAGGCAGCAACTGCAGCAGCAGCAAGTGCAGCAGCAGCAGTAACAGCAGCAGCAGCAACTGCAGCAGCAGCAGCAACTGCAGCAGCAGCAGAAACTGCAGCAGCAGCAGCAACTGCAGCAGCAGCAGTAACTGCAGCTCCCTTTGATGCTGTTAATCCTGCATAATGCACATGCATATGCAGTACTAATCACGTGCCTGCATTTCCCATAAATATGCTAAATTCCTTTTGATATGCAAATTCCTTTGTCAATGCGCCCAGCTTATATATATGCTCCAAGCTCGTGTGCTGTTTCATTCAGACTCTGTCGCCTCGACGGACCTGGTTTTCACCTGAGGACGGCTGCTTGCGTTGTGGCCGAAACGTCGTGAGAATTGTTTTATTATGTTTTATTTTTATTATTTTATTATTTCCCTTCTACGTGACTTTACCGAAAGAACCAAGAAGATGAATCCCTGCAGTCACGAAAGCTTTAAATCGAAACCTGGCTACATCTCGGAACAAAATGTCTGTCAATCATGTGTCCAGGAAAACATCACTGGATCATTTTAAAAAGGTCACCAATACATGTTCATAAACGTATTTGCTGTCTTGCAGACTCTTGGCTACCTTACCGACCGGTAGGTTTAGGAGTCAAAGATCTGAATTTCGTCGACAGTGCTGTATTACAGGTATGCACTAGTTGACAAAAATGAGCATTCTAAGGGCAACGGACTAACCATGTGTTGAAAAAAAGGGGACCGACATTTGGTTTCAGGCTGATGTGATGACGAGAGTGCAGTTTGTCTGAGCATCAGTTTGGCATTTAAGAACCTTTTTTCAATAATTTGTCATTGTTATTAGAAATAATTTATTTTATGATCCTGTTTAAATAGCTTCTTGTTCATCTCATTTGTAGTGCTATACACCACATTAGGCAAAACGTAACATGAGCATGTGGGTAAGCATAAATCCTAAACGACGATTCAAACCGAGCATCCTGAGCATCACAGAATTTTAATCCTGTGCATTGTTACGCAACTAGCAGCAGCTATTGCACACCACAGTGCTATCCATACCCAGTTCCAACCACAGTCGCACGCAAACATGTTGGCATTACGCGTGGCTCTGCGTCGCAACTCTCCCTGCCGGCTCACCGGAGTCTTGGGCTGTGGCTGGCCCGGCGTCCCGGGCTGTGGCTGTGGCTGGGACTGCGGGCGCGGTGGTTGCTGCAGGTGCTGGGGCCCTGCGGTTGGGGATGGCCCCACAGACGTGGGTCCCTGGGCCGGAGGCAGCGTCGTCTGCGCCATAGGAATCGCCTGGCTCTGTGGAGAACGCTGAACCTGCATTGCGCCCGGGGGACAAAAAATCCACAATGGTCAAAAGGCCATCAGGGCCAATTACGTTGATGTGCCAAACACACTTTACTATTGTTTCCATCCTTCGGTCAATATCCCGAATTTGGTTGCACAATAAACACCAGGCCTTCTAAGATCTCATAACTACCAATGGCTTTAGGTCTTACCCTAGATTGCCAACCTCCCGATGCCCAACTCCAATGCCTGCCTGTGTACCTGTTTCTCGTACATTCTGCACATCTCCCACCTAAAGCAACCTCCACTTTCTAATTACATTCATACAGAATATGCTTTCAAGATTAGTATTTCTCCGATTTTAGCCAACTTAAAGGATAACTGCTCAAACCAGATAGCCCAAAGCGCATGCAAATGGCATACGCCATGTTGCTTCTTGTTGTATCCGCCGTGTTTAACCTCAATGGCCAATGTTCAGTTCTAAAATATATTCTGACATTTCGATTCCACAAATAAAAAACCAAAGCTTTATCAGTAAGTCACCCTCCACAGTGGTTACCAATGCAGCCCACATACCTGAGCAAGCGGTTGAGGCGGTGGTTGAGGCTGCTGTTGCTGCTGCTGCTGCGGCATCTGCTGCTGGGGCGACTGCTTCCCGTGCATGCCAGATTGGCCCGTGGGCGGCTGGCTGGACTGATGGGTAGGTGGCAGAGGAGACCCGGCTGATGGAGCCATCCCGGCCACCTGTGTCACTGGAGGAAGCCCTGCGTTCCCCTTTCCACTGTTTTGCATGACTGTGCTTGGCATGGGTGCCGCCTGTACAAGACATGGGGGGGGGAGGGAGCGGTGAAATCCAAAGAAAGCGTGTGCATGTAAATAAGACCAGCAAAGTTTGGAAATTTTCCCACCAATTTGCAACCCGACATCATCAACTCTGAAAAACTCATTCATCAGTGTTGTTGATTTTTTTGTTCTTTATGCACCACTTTCAATGCATTATCAGCAAATAATGTTTAGATTTGAAATCAGCAATTATGAACCTCCCAACACAATGAGACTGTCCAACATGTTGTGTCACATGTAAAGCAGTGAACTGCATCGATTTGTATTATTGTTCTCTGTAATCGCAAGAAACATGGAGCTTGCATTGCTCTCCTTCCATGGAATTACAAATGACAAGAAATCTGAATATTTACCAGTTGTGAAGGAACACCTGCATAACGGTAAATGTCACTATGAAGGTACATGGAGGGACTATGGCACACACCTGTGTGGTAGCAGGCTGCGGAGGGGTTTGCGAGGGGGCCCCGCTGCTTGTGGGTTTGCCTGCTGTCACAGGAGGGAAAGGCCCCGCTTGTTGAGAGTGGAACTGCTGCTGTTGCTGCTGCTGCTGTTGCTGCTGCTGCTGCTGTTGCTGCTGTTGCTGCTGCTGCTGCTGCTGTTGCTGCTGCTGCTGCTGTTGCTGCTGCTGCTGTTGTTGTTGCTGCTGTTGCTGCTGTTGCTGCTGTTGTTGCTGCTGTTGCTGCTGCTGCGGTGTCGGCGGCTGCTGCTGCGATTGCGCTCCAATGTTGCCCATGTGCATCATGCTTTGCGCCGGCGGCATGCGCGTATTCCCCATCTGCAAGAACACGAACACAAAACCCATCATGAATCGACCCACGCAGTACAATGGGGAATTGGAACATCAACCCAAACAGCCGCCACGTAACGAATCACAAGTGTGAGACAATGAAGATGGTCAATGTTTACGCCATTCAGAATAACCATGGCTGGTAGCTATCATGTGATTCTCACCAGTAATGAAAGCTGGAAGCCAAACACACTGAACAATAATCAAAACGAGTTTCCAAAGTAATGGAACCCGATGCAGCAGAAAACACCAGCCGCATTTGATTTGTTTTTAAAAACCTTGATCACGAAATCCTACTTGCTATTCACTATAAGGCCACTACACAAATTAAGCAGTTACTTTCACAGGATCGACCATAGCTGCATCATGGGCTTATCGGTGACGTCAGCAATAGATTGTTGAAGGCACACATTTAACCACAACCGTGATGTTCAAAAGCAGCTGAGCCACAGCCTCCTACGAGATGCTGTGTTGAGTTAACATGGAAGAAGAGCAATTATAATTAGATATAAAAAGGGGGCATCTGATTTGTGAGACATTAAACCCAATAAAATACCCATGGAACATCACAGCTTCGTCTCACCGAGTGGAATTCACTGTTAACAATAAGCACCCATTTATGTTGGCTCTGGCAGCAGCAGCATGCCCTCGGCATCCTTGTGGGCATTTCAAGTGTGGCAACTTGCAAATGTAACATGGCCCATGCCAGCATGATTGTGGCAGACAGTAGGGTGGGAAATAAGAATATTTCTTGCTTAAATAAGCAAAATTTAACCACCAGCCACATTTCATAAAAAAAACATCCGAGATCGTGATTCGGGCTGTAAAAGCCAAAGCTTTTCGGCTTTGTCTACTGCAGCCTACTCAGTTGCTGCTTCAGGGGCGAGTACATGATTCCCCCACTAAACATTGGGGATGCGTGCATTCCTGGGAAATGTTACTCGAATTTGCTTAAAGAGAACTCTAATTTCCGAAACATAATTTTTCAATCAGGGGTTGTGTGTTCCTCGTCGATAATCCTTGAAGCAACGTGACTATACATCATGAAGTATACAAAAATGCATACGTTAACATACATTTTCACTCATAATAGATAGAACTAGAAAAAACTTTCCAGAGATGGTTTAGGACCTTATTTGATAGATGCTTCTTGGGGTGAGTAGTGTTGGAGTTACACAGACTAAGGGGGAAGAATCTGACAATGAAGCTGGAGCCACAAGAACGTTCACCAGAAGAAGCTGGCTCTCTTCTGGGCTCATCTACAGACCTTCTGACTTCATTGCAGAATGTAAAAAAATATATATCTGTCCAAAGACAGCTCGACAGCAATTTTTTTTCTTCCGCTCGTACAGTTCCTTGTAGCAATCATCATGCATCGCCAGCAAAGGACCATTGCGCCAAACGTGCGACCTCTTGCAACTTAAAAAAAAACTGCTCTTGCTGCCATATAGGTGTCCAGTAATTTGTTTGATCTATGGATCACGGGGGTGACCATGGGGGCCGGAGCCATTCTTCAAAGGGTTGCAGTCAACTTCCAACGTACAACTGCCAACTGAAGGACAAATTGCTAGAGTTTGTGCAACAAGAAAGGCAATGTGTCCAAAAATGGACAATTTGTCTCCTTCCAACTAAGCTCTCAATCACTAGTAGACCTGTCGTAGATGCAATGGTGACATTTCTGACAAAGTCGAACCATCGGATGCCAAGAAGGCATCTTTGGCATGGCATGTGCGAGGGCTGCAGCCTATCCAAATCAGCTTGAAGCAATGTCCAGGCCTCCATACCGTACAACAAAACTGAAAAACACAGCACTGAAACTCGACATTTGGTGCCCAGACTTAACCGTTTCTGGGACCAAATGCAGTTCAGACCGTTCATTATTCCTGAGGCCAGGCCTTAAGAATAGTGACAAAGAAAGCTGTGCTCAGGCCAGCTCATATTCCTTGTGGTGGTATAAGTTAATCGGCCTTGTCGTCTGCTTTTTTGTTCTAGCTGCATGAGCTCCTCATGACAGTCCTCACCATGGGACTCCAGCTACTCCACCATCTCCAACTCCTCTACGTTGTCGAGTCCAGCTACTTTGCGACACCGACTGTATTGTACGCACATAGGGGCGTACCACGTGAACATAATTTGTAATTGTCGCCGATTCATTTCGTCCTGTTACAGCGTAGCACGTCGAGAGCTCACCTGCCTCTGCACCTGGTGCGTGCTATGCGCGTACAATACTGTACAACGTCGCAAAATAGTCTGTTTTCACCATGTGCATTGCTATTTTGAGCTGTTTTTTTAAGAACACATGCAAAACATTAAACTCACAAGGAAATACATGTTCCCTAATTCATCAGCAAAGTATATGTGAAACAACACAAATATGACAACTTATAGGGGGGGGGGGGTGGTGGGGGGGGATTCCTGTAGCGATCAGCGGCAGTCGCGGCTCTCACCTGGTTGATTGCATTCATTTGGTTAATTTGGTTCAACTGATTTGGGTGGTTGAGTGGTGGCGTCGAGCGCTGGTTGAGGACGGCTGGTGGCACTGCCATCGGGGGCATCTGCCCAAACTGGCCCCCGGGTCCTGCGGGAACACGAGCACCAACAGCGCCGGCAAACTCAGAACCCGCCGCCACACCGTGCCACGCCGGACCCCGCCAAGCTCCGAGCCCAGGTCCTGCTGATTTGAGATGGCAGATGTCACATTCACATGTGTGTTGCTATGACAAATAACATATCATTAATTCATTCAAGTAACAAAGGCATCGCGCACACTGTCTGTATCTCAAGTTTCGCGCCGCACTTATAATTGATACACGGAAATAATAAATGGTAATCTATGGTACCCAATACACAAGACTGGCATGCAAAGTTAAAATGTTACGAGTTAGGCAAGGAAAATTTAAAAGAACACACGCTGCATGCGATTAGTTGCTTTCAGGCAGTTTTCCCCTAATTGGTCTTTCATTATTTCTGAAGTATTATTGTTCGTTTCTTACTTTTGAACAGTGATAATGCCGCAAAACACATTTTGGAAATTAAGGTTCTTGGAAACTACAAATTCCAAAAACTAACAAAAATATCAGTGCAGGACAACATCTATTGGGGCAGTTTGTTGCATACAGTAATTAATGATTAATTGATCGGGGCCTGGATTTTCAACGACAACCAAGTTACTGAATACATGTAAATGAAGCTTATATCAAAAGCACCCGAGACTCCCAAGTGACGAAAGGGACATTGCATTCTGCCACGGGATTTGAAAAATTCCCCACGTCAGGCGTGCCCAGCAAACCTAATTAAAGTGCAAATTAATTCTATTATATTCATATTGGCATCATTGCCCACACCTGGCATGGGGAATATGAAAACCCCGTGGCAGACCAGTCTGTCCCCTTAACCCAATGCGGCCAGTTGTATTCCGTGATAAACAAAATACTACATAACCTAATTTTTATTGCACTAACCACACTCCACAAGGGCAATGTGGAGTGGCTCACAAAACAGCCAGCCAAAACTGAATTTAATTCACCCACTCCAGGAGTAAGTAATTTGTCCGAGTTCGTGGCACTCCTCTGACTTCCCACAAGCAACACCAACATGTAAAGATTCACTGCAAGTGCAGGTCAGAAAAGTACAAGACACACAGTACATGCCCACATATGGTGCGGAAGTGAATTTTTCAGATGATAGTTTAGAAAAAAAAAAGTTCCATGGGTGGAAACAACCAATTAGAATACAGGAACCCTTCAGGGACATGGTGGCATAAATCTGGCACATTTCAAATTTACCCACCACAGTAGATTTGGAAGCAATTTGTCCCACAGTAAATATGACATAATTGGAGGCAACTCACAATATCTGCAACTACATTCAGAACACAATGGCCAAATCTTGTGAACAAGCACGGGAGCTTTCAAATGCATACCAATGCATAAATCAAGGGGTGTGTCCACCTGGTCATGCTATACTGGTACAAGGCTACAAGAAACAAACATTTGCTCTCCACGCAGTGGCAGGAGAATGGGTGATTGTGCTTCATGCAGAGAGTCTACCCCAGATCAAGCGGGCTTCCAGAAGCCATGGCAACACTTGTCTCATTCTTACAGTCCTGCGCGCTGGTCCCTACTGGGCCATCAATTAGCGATCACTCCACAAGTGGGTGGAAATATGTATTTCAAAAAATGATTCTCAATTACATTTAATTTGTATGTTATACTCGAGTGCAAGGAAGCTTCACATGCCGGAAGACACTTAATTATCAAGCGCAACAGAAACAATTAAATGTACATCACAAATTGAATTACTCATTAAAATTGTAATGAATTGAAGGTTTAATACCAAACTGCGCATTTCATTTCGTCAAACAAGACCTACCATACCATCTAAGGACTGGGCATGGATGATAATTGAAGTGGGTACTAAATAGAGAATAAAAGAAATGATTTAACCAAGGCAAGGGGCATCAAAACCTCTCAGCAGAGGGCATATGTCCTTCCCATTCTGCAGTACAACTGTCATACAGTGCAGTGTTCCCAATAATTGTTTGCACATTTTAAACTACCAGAGATCTCTTTTGTTAACTAATGTGTTTCTCTTCACCTATGCATTGAAACAAAGCAGCAATGATTAGGGGAAGGACAACTCAGTCATTCCATCCATGCTCAACCAAAAGGATAATTCTATTATTACACAACTCCTGTGATACCAGACAAAACACAAGAATCTGATGAGCTATGCAGCTCTTTTGCACAGACGTCCAATTGAATGTAACTCTCAGCCAAGTGAGTTTGAGCAATTTCACTCATCTGCATCAACCACCCATTCCTTTACCTTAACAGCGTTACAAGGGGAGACATGCCACCATGCCGCCAACATCATCACAGGAGTCTTACTAAAAAGTTCTACACTAGACAGAGTTTGCTCAAAACTGTTTTTTAAAGAGCAGATTTGCAAGATTAGATGGCTACACAGAGCTGTGTGCACAAGTGATAATTTAGTTGGCCTTTCTACCAGAATCTGTGGCATTCTTTTGCTATTAGTCTGGATTTTATTTCCTCATTCTCTAAGTCTAGTCAACTAAAGCAGTTGAAGTTTAGTGCGTTTCAGTTATTAAATTTTGGTGTGCGAGGGATGTTCAATTTCCTCCCATATTGAGGTCAGCCAATCAGTGAACTTCGTAAATGTTTTTAAAAACATATAGTATAGTTTTTTGTCATGAATGTCTTCCTCAGTGCACTGTAATCTATAAGGCCATTGCCGTTAGGCTTGACGATTTTCGTCCACTCATACTCTCATCCTTGACGAAACAAAAAAAACACACCGTTGACGAATAATTGTGTTATTAATTTCCTTAATAAAATAATGGAGCATAGAAGCTGAATGAGCTTTGCGGACGGCCCCTCCGTGAACTGGCAAGTACCTGGTGGAGCTGGCATGCGGCCATGCAGCTGAGAAGGCACCCCTGGAGCGCTTGGAGCAGTTGTGTGCATTATACCGGTGTCGGACATTGGCCCATCTGCACAAAAAAAAGATATCAACGTAAACTTCTTGTCATACATTATGAATAAAATCACCCTTTAAAGATCACGTCATTTCTAGACCCCCCCCCCAGCCTACAAATAAAGCATTCAGTACGGAGATGGTTGAAGACAAAGGACATGCCTGTACACGCCTCACCGTGACTGAAGGCACCAATGCTATCAGAATCTTGCAGAAGGCTCTCGTATGGATAAGGAGGGAGTGATTTTGTTCCGTCACTGCTTGGTTGTAGAGCCACCAAAAACTAAATATGGCTGCATTTAGTTATAGGGTTGATTTTTCTAAAAGTTTTTTGGAAGTTAAACATTAATCCCACTACGCTGTGCATGTATTTGTACATCCCTTTTGTTATGTTCACTGCTGGATAAGGACATCCCCATAAATAACCCTCTTGGGTTCACCACATTGATCAACAATTAAATTTCTGTACATGATATGGTCCCGATATGGTGCCCATTAGGATACGCGTGACTTCAATCGCACCGCATCCATGAATTTTAGTTGCTTGCCGATACACAATGGCTTTCATGTTAACACACACAACTGGACAGAAATATTCTTCACTAGGACCTTTCCCAGGTGCGCACACATGCTCACCTATTAGTCTCACAGGGTGCCCTTAAAATACCATGTGTGCACAATAGCCCTACTGGAGCCAATGGTTTACAAGCCTACCCGGCAATATGCACTTAGAGCTCTTACTGGGCGGTCGGATGGCCTGTCCCGGCGACATATTCATGGTCGGCATGCTAGCAGGGTTCTGCATCATCTGCTTCTGCATGCGTGACCGCCGCTTCTCCTCCAACTCCTTCTGGATCTTGTAGATCTTCTCCGCCAACAGATGGTAGTACTCCTCCTGCAAGGACACCGCACACAAAAACACGACGTGTTACTACTTTGGCACGCACATGAGTATGCCGTTCATACGCTGCTGAAGGGCAAGCGAAAGAGATGTCCACCCTCAAGGGGTGGATGACCGCGCGGGCGGGCACACCGTACCCGGCTGTTGGCAGACTCGTACATGTCCCCTTCAACCTTGCGTGCGTAGGCCACCAGGTTGCCCATCCGCCGGTCTTTCAGTGCAGCTGGGTCCGGCGTGGGGAATATGGCTTGGACACTGCCAGACGGATAATAAGTTAAAAACATCTTGTGAATAACATTAAAACGGGGGTCGGCAGTAAAGGATAAAGATAAATAAACGTGTAATTAAGGATACGCATACAGTTCTGTGTTCCTTTAACAACATCATGGATAAAGTAAGTACAGTTGATCAAAAACTGACTGCAACCTATTGAAATTCCCATGATTTTTCTTCTAAAGGATGCTTTTTAATGGAGTCCAACAAGCCAAGCTCTTCAAGTGCTTGTGGTCAGATAATGATGGGTGTGCTTGCAGTAAGTGTGCAAGGTGCCAGTACTTACAGCTTGTGCACCAGGTGATTTCGCAGGTCCTGAGTGACGTGCTCGTGCCAGGCCTTGCGCACGCCTGTGCTGGGGGCAGCCGTGGCCGCACTTGCCGTAAGCCCTCCGGCCTGTCCGTTATCCCCACCCATTGGGCTATAAAACACACAGACGGACACAAAAAAACAGAATTGACGATGAAAAGTTCCGGGCAATAGTCTCGACGAAGCGGAACCCAACAGAGATTTTGCGATGGGGAAAGTGATAAGGACAATGGACGGATGCACAACCACCATACCTCTGGGATCCGATGGGCGGCAGCATGCCAGGGTCCTGCATCATGCTACCCGACTGATTAGAGTTGGACATGCCCATTCCGCCAGCGCCCATACCACCCATCTGGTTGGCATCTGTGAACAAATGCATGAAAACACACGTTTTGCACGGTGGCGCCTTCATATTGTCACAGTACTTTGCATGGTAAATCTGAAAATAAGGCATTTGAGCACATGGCATTTACAATTAAGCTTTGACATAGTTCCAAAATAATTTAGCAAGGTATTCATGCAATTAGAAGATTTGAGGCTTAGAAATGCATTCAAATAAAAAATAAGTTATACCGTTTTAACACCTGTTATATTTTCTTATCTTCAAGAAACTGTTCAACTGAACTTAGGTCAACATCCAGCCTGTGTCGTGCAAGTTATAACACAATGTTTTGAATAGAGATGAATGTCCATTGGGAGATAAAAACGAATGTTTTTAACGCAATGATAAGAAACCCCAACAGTAGACTTCATAACTAATAATTAAAACACAGCTCTAATAAAGGCATTAAAAGTTTCTTATAAAGAATGCAATTATAGATATAATATCATATTGTTTTATAATACCATGTGATTTATCAAGCATTACCAATTGAAATAGTAATGTCATTAACTCCTAAACAATGTAAACACAACGTGCACTAACAATGAAAAGGGTGACTATTAATTTGAACTCGAGGGTGATTTTTATCTGGAGAAAACATTCTCACGGGACACTAAACGCTTATTTGCTCTCTGTAATGCGAGTATCTGCATGCAACGAGGCATGTTTCCGCTGCTTGGGTTTCGCGCATTGCCGTTTCTTCCTCACAAACCGAGAAACATTGGGGCAAGCCATAGACATGAGATTATTATAATACGCACAAATTGAGGAAACAGCGGTCACAATCACAACACTCCTTGCTGGTGGCGTGGTGAGAATTAAGAACCGACAGCTCCCATTGCTGCTATCATCAACTTACGTTATTCCTCGTAGTTGATTGCAAACACTTAAAATAATTCAGAGCCCTACCACATGCTGTTGCTTATTTAAATTGCACAATGGGCAGATTTAGTGTGAATTTTGGATGTGTGGTTGTGCAATGAGCAGTTGCTTAAAAATATATACTTTTTTAAATACTACTGAAAAGTAGGTTGTTCATGTTGGCTTTGATGGTGTTAGGATTGATATATTCCAAGTCTGTATGATAGACATGAAATTAATCATTTTAAAATTTAAGATTTTTGAGGCCTACCTATGGAGTCATTACAGCAGTGACTTTTCAAGTTATATTTATCAAAATGGTGCGTATTACACAACATATTTTATGCAAAAAAACAATGGAACTTTTACACTTAAATTAAGTGGATGGGTCTGCATGAAATTAAAATAACTTTGGCCTGTTTGGAGGAAATGGCATTTTGCCAACTTGCGTTATGTTATGTAGATATTTATTTGGTCGATTTCAAGTTAGCAAGTCACCTGCTGAGGAATACTGCTGTTAATTTTACTTTTTATTTCGAGTATATTGGCAGGAGTCCATAATCCCAATTCGAATCCATCATTTAGAACTCGGTGAATGCTCACTACCATAAAGGAAAATGATCCAAGTAATCGTCTCTTTAATGAATTTACACTGGATGGATTTTTTGCAAACAATCGTCATCTTGAAGGTATACTCACTGATGCTGTTCATGGCTCGATTGGCGCTCTGCTGCTGGGCCACATGGGGCGGACTGCTCTGGTACGGGATGCCCAGTGCGGCGTAGGCGCGCTGCATGGAGCTTGGGTCGATGGGGTTTGACGTCGAGAGACCGGGCGTGCTGGGCTGACCCATAACACCCGTGCTCACCGAGCTGCTCACACCCAGCGACGGGGCGCCGAGCAGGGCTGCACAACACACACAAAGCGTGACAAAGTTTACCCACCCGGCTTCGCACACCTCTGGGACGAGTACTGTTAGTGATCGCTGCGGCACACGTGTCACCGTTACGTGGCCGGTGCGGCGCACGTGTCACGGTTATGTGGCTGGTGCGGAGCAAGTGTCAGTCAGGGTTATGTGGCCAATGCCACGCCCGTGGACCACCCCTCGTCTCCCAGTCTTGGTTTATCGCGTGCGCACGAGAAAGTCGGAAGAGCAAGACTTTGCCGGCACGTGAACCTGTTCATCACACCCTGTGCCCCAGGCAACAAATACCGAAAGTCAGCCATTTTCAGTTTCTCGTCAAGAACCTCGTCAAAACCACACGAACGATGACGCAATGTGTGTATCAGAGCTAAACCACGCTCATTCATCTCGGAAATCACTCTTCTATGCAACGCGAGTACAAATATTCTCAGTTTAGGCAACTAAAATAAATAAGATCCACTCTACTGGTGTAATCCACCTGGCGGCAATTGGCTGTCCTTGCCTATGGCAACTCATTCGATACAGCTTCATATGGCAAGTTTCCCCACGTGCATATTTAGTGTTATTGGGATATTAGCAGGGCATGTTAGTACAGCACAGACTATTCTAAGACCGTTTACTTCGATAGCATGCAATAGCGCAACTTTGTGAAAGAAAAAAGTAAAAAATTGTACACGACTAAAACACTGTCCTTCATTTTTGGAGACCACTGCAAAATGGCTTAGGATAAAATGGCCGACTGCTCGAGTAATATTACAAACACAGCCAAAACGGACCCGAATCTGTCACAAGATACCCTCTCAAATCTTACACACCGTGGTATATTACTTTACCAGGACCTTAATGCACTATGCAAAAGGCCAGTAATATGTATATTCGACATATATATAAACAATTCATATCATGCCAATATGCAAATTACAAGAGGTTTGCACAACAATAGGTGTCGTGTACCCTGCCACGGGAACATTGTGCAAATAGCGGCGATTATCAGGCACAACAAGCAACAATAAAGTTTGAAATATGTAACAGCATACAAACGACTCTGAAAATATTATACGTTAAAAAATTCAACGCGTTCACGCTTGGCTGTAACTTTGTCACGTGGATTTGAGCGCATTATCAAAAAGCAACCCCCCCTCCGTATTGAAAGCATTAATTAAGGTAAACCAGTCAATGGGTCCGTACGTGACCATCTTGATACTCACACTGCTGGTTGCGCTTGTCTCCAGCATTCTTGAGCGGGAGGCACACAGGACAGTCGGGTCGTGTGCAGTTCTTCCAGTGGGAGATGATCTGCCTCGATGATGCGCAGTGAGCCACTGCCAAAAGGAAGAGCCCCATCGCGGTTAGTAAACGCAAGATCGAACCGAGGTGCGCGCGCGCTGCCAAGTCAGTAAGGTGCATGTGGAGACCTCTTAGGCAAAGGGTGCTAGCATAACCGTAGATTAATATCCAATCATCATGTGGGGGCCACTGTGCCGAGATATTAACTTCCTCGCCTGGCATGCAGGAGGTCGTGGGTTTGATCCCGACCCTCACACCTGTATATTTGGAGTTTGCATGTTCTCCCCCTGGTCGCGTTGATTTTTCTCCAGGTCCTCCGGTTTTCCCCTCCACATTTAGAATCAACGTGCATTTAGAGTATTTGGCTACTTTAAATTCCCACATTAGTCACTTCGTTTACCAATCACTTCTGAAAGAGCTATATAGCTCATTGTGCCTTACCTGGTAAAATAAAAAAGTTAAGTAGTTTAAAAAAGTTTCAACCATAAAACTATCCTTGCTTCACTTGCCTGTTTTGGATATTATTACAGCAGGGAACAATCCTTTTTCACTGCAATGTAAAAAACTTCCTTTCAAAAACGAATCAATGCCTAGGAATGCTGACTCAACTATTCAGAAAAACTACCCAGACTTCCTTAAGCTTAAGAGTTAATTAAATTTAAAAAACTATGATTGGCCAAAAGTTGTATTGCAGATTTTGGTCCTTCCTGTTGGATATAGGAACCTTATTTGATCTCTGCCTCTTACTTAAATTGAGGTCATCCAAGGATATCGAAACATCCGCTGACTAAAAGTAAACACCTGATGGGTATGTTAAAATGTGTGGCTCAAAAGCACACATTGCTACTGTTTGCAGCGTTGATTTGGCACAGGATGTTACAAAAGTGTTCCCACTTCTGGCTTGGTCAGTAATGTTTGTGCGACTGAAAATATAAAACCAAATTGGTTACTCGACTGTCTGAATTCGCCACATATATAATTTTACCAATACGGCCAACACATAAGACTCACTCACTAAAGCAACAGGTTTGGCTGCACGAATTGTAACAAACATTTAAAATATATAATAACATAGGTATTTCTTTCGTATTTATCCTTGAGAAATGTTGACCAGTGAGTGGCCCTCTCAAGTAAAAATGACAAAGAGGGTCACCACAAAACTGTAACTTCCAAGCATCGGTCTATGCATGGACCTGTTTCAGGTTACACCTACTCAAGATGGAACTACCTTGTGATGCACGTAAAACTTTAGAAGCAAGTCCGTGACAAAATAGAGTGCAGAGTACCAAGGCCAAAGGAAACTTGCGAAAATACAAATTACATGCAAAAATACAGCCGCTGGCTACAACCTGAAAATCTAAACAACCGTTTTGGCAAACGAGCATGCAGTCCACGGTGCATGCCAGCAACTGAGGCATAGCTGATCGACACCAGTTTTTTGACAACAGGACTCTTCAATATAGTGTGCAGGCCCTGTCAGGAACACAACTAGAGACAATGGAAAGTGATAGAAACAAAGAGTGTGATGCAGAGAAGCCACATTGGAAACAATGGCATTTTTGACACTGGCCATGCAGCATCAAATGCTATTGCATTATTATGATTATGCTTATTATAATGGTTAACACGGTAAAGCCTCAACGAGCTTAAAGACTTTTTCAGGAGGGTCCTACAATATTTTTCTCAACTAAAATATTGCAAAGTGAACCGTTGTCACCTCAAGCGAAACAAGCTTGCAAATTGCATGTCACCTCTCCCTCCAATTGTCAATTGCTGTGCACGCAAAGGCCTGCGCTCCTTCAAAGTAAGCGGGAAACATCCAAGAAAAAACTTTGCGGATGACGGCAGCAAGAAGGCGGACACGCTCACCTTGGCAGGACTTGCCGGCTTGACAGTGCGTCATGTGGTTGAGCACGTTCTTCATGGTGCGGCAGTGCGGGAGGTTGCAGGGCCGCACCTCGCCATTGCCCTGCTCGCGTCGCTGGCACTTGTGCGCGTGCAGCAGGAGCACCAGCTGCTGCTGGATCAACTTGCGCTTCTCGGGGTCGGCCGCCGGCGTGGAGGCCAGGCCCTGCGCGGGAGGTTGAGCCAGTCCACCCGCCTGCTGTGGCTGGGATAGTGAGTGTGTGGTGTGTCAAAGGACAAGAGGATCAGGCATACGCAGCGAAAAGCAAAAACACAAACGCAGAGAGATGTAGCAGGCGATTCAAAAACACCTCCACACAAAAATAAACAAATACTATTCTAACAGATCACTGGTACTCCAGAATTATGTAGGGGTACGAGTTAATTTAAATGCAATAAAACTGTCTCCATATTTTAACCTTACAAATGATGCGTGTGAAGAATCTATATTTTGGACAAACATAATATCCCCAAGTGCAGTATTTCCAGTTCAAAATGTTATCAATTTGTATCTGGGATTTCCTAGAGTTCAGCGGGTCCACCACTTTTTCCATATTCTTACCAGCAAACAGACAACTCTAGGCTTTGCAGAGAAGTTGGCTCAGCCTAAAGGCTATCCCAAAAAAACACCAACACTAATCAACACAAGTATGTGAATGACTAACAGCAGCGTGCACGTGCAGACAGCCAACAAGCGGAGTTGAGCACGGGAAATGCCACTGAAGCCGCCTCTTCATCAATCACTACACTCCACTAATCTAATTGCACTTAATCAAGTGAGTTGTGAGTAACACATATCTTCACTTCGTCGACATATAGATGCTGACAAGTTCCATCCAAAAAGGTGGAGGCCCCTGAGACACTGATTAAGGGGTCGTCAATGACAGGTCAATCACGCCACTGCTCAGGTGCAGTTTATCCTACAGGCATTGGGCTCCACAGCCTCAAAAGCTCGCAACATCCAAGACCCCCGACTTAACATGTCCCAGTTTTAATAATCTCAGAGAAGCCAGGTTCATACCTAGACAAATGTTCATATTAGTCAAATGCACCGACGCCTCCTTCCCTACTATCATCAAGGTAATATATTTTGCCTGTTTTGTGAAGGGAATCTGGCCCTAAGTCTTAAAAGTTTAGCAGGAAGGGACAGCCAATTAGTTTGACCAGAGCACAGATGTATACATAAATGTAAATATTTATTGCATCACAGTAAGCTTATAGACTTTTTATCAAAAGATGAAAAAGTGGGTATGCAGACGAAACCACATCCTCATTTAAGGCACGCCTATTGACTGTACGCGTTAGAACAAAATAGGCTATCCAAGGCCAACTCCAGGAATTAACAGTCCACTGATGATCAAATAACAATCACCCAAGGAGATTCATTACTGGTGTGATCATTACTGTTCATTTTTTAGAGGGTGACCCCAAAATGCACATGCTATATAATTATTTTTGTATTACAGGATAAATATATATAACCTTTGGTTCTTTCGGTAAAGTCACGTCGGTATGAAATAAAATAAATCACGACGTTTCGGGCGCAACACAAGCGTCCGTCATCAGGTGGGAAAGCATTTTATTTTATACCTACGTGACTTTACCAAAGAACCAAAGAGTATGGATTCCTGCAGTCACGAAAACTTCAAATCAAGAGGATAAATAGAGAAAATATAAAAACACTCACGGGGACACGCTGCTACTTTACATCAACTCTGCGGACTTATCTTTGTGCTTGATGTGTCTGCTACACGATGGCTAAAAGTTAATTCTCAGGTGAACAACAAAAACATATCCATTCCTTTGATAAGCATAGGCATTTTTAGGCCACTTAACCCTGGCTGCCTGGATAACTTTTCAGGAAAGAAACACTCAGCAATGGATGAAACATTTTAATTTGCGTAGCTGAAACTTTCTTGAATTACTACATTTTGTACTGATATTTTCATCCAAGCAACTCATCCTAAAGACATTTCCACTGCTATGTACTAGCCAGTTTTGCTACGTTTAACACGTGGGCTTTCGCGACCAATATGCAAAGGTTTTTTTGGGTTAGAATGCGTAAAGATAATTTTCCAGAATCAACATTCTAGCAAATCACCCGATGAAGATGGTTGCAATCACCAGTCAAACGTCATACTCGAATTGTAAATGTTGTGAGTTTATTCTCTAACACACCGGTGTGCTGAAGTCGTAACCAATTGCCAAATTTTGTTTACGCGATACACCTCTCTAATTGGATGTGTCGGGTGGTGGTGGGTTAACGATACATTTATATTTACATGATCGAACCCAAAAAAACCTATATTATTAACAGCTTGGCTCCATCGCAATATTAGTAAGCATGGCACTCGCGTGCACATCCACCAGTGCCGAGTACAGTGCATGAGTTAATGTCGGCAACAGCGGCTGCATACGAGCACATGGAGCATAAGAGCCTACAACACCTTACAGGGATTTCCAAACCACAACTATTTTAGAGCGCACATCAATTTTGCATTAAACTATAAATACACACATTATGTATGTGCGGGCTCCACTCTTTCTTGACCCTATTGACAGAATTACCTAACAAAACAAGCAATCGATTTTCTGCTTAATGCAATCACTGGATTGAAATGTGTGGTATCCGATATACACACTGCATAAAAAACACACAAATGCATCAACGTATCAATGCATACACTGCCTGTAAAATGAAGACATGCTAAAGTGCAAGTTTTTATAAAGAAAGCCAACCGAGGGATGATGTAATTACAACGAAACCACGGTATGCAATACCAATCGAACCTGATCAGAACTGAGGATGGTGTCAACATGTTAACACCTTCATTTAATAATGTACAAATAATAATTCCTGATACACAGCAACCTATGAGCCTCGTAGAACATTAGGATTCTTTTCGGTTTACCTTTTGACACAGGAGCTGGCTAAGACCAAACCAAGTACGAACACCAATTCATAAAAAGGGATTTTTGTGAAACCATATTTGCCTTTGGTGGAAGAACAAAAATCTAACCACTTGACGTAAAAAATTGTTTGATAGCGGTGGTTAACCCTAGCGCTTTAGTGCACAACATCGGAGGTTTTGGCTTCAAGAGCTTGATACAGGTATAAACCTCAAGCCAACAGACCCTTCCAGCGAGGGGTTAGTTTGAGAACTTGTCACTCACTATGTAACAGAGTTGCGAAGTATTAAATTAACACTATCCTACCACATTTCATACCCGAATAGACCCACCTTGCCATTACATGCATACACCTTACCTTCCACCTCAGCAATAGCTTTTGAGTGATGTTTGTCGGTTAATATCTTCAGCCATACACATGTGCAACTACTGATAAAGGCACTACAACTAAATCATTTCACTGTATTAAAATTCTTCAATCAGCAGTGTTAAAAGGTCAATATGTTCAGCACAACTTGCTTATTAAGAAAATGAATAAATGCTATATGTGGAATAAACTTGGGTTACCTGCTTGAAGACTATACATGAAATGTCTATTTTTTTTATAAACTTAAATTACCTGTTCGGAAAGCATTAAAATATTTCTATTTTAATTGCACAATCACATTTTATGGGAAACTGTTTATTAATACTAAGTATGTTCAATAACAAGTAAAAGCGTACCAAACAAAACTAAAAACACGTGCCAGCAATTTTAACACCGCAAGCATAAATATAGAAAAAGACTCCGAATGTCCATAAAATACTTTCCCTACAGCAAAGCATTCCCACCGAGCTCACAAGCCTAGGATGACCAGAACTGCCTCGTATAGCTCCTTATTCATCTATCATAAGCAATGGCCGGATGACGGCTGTGCATACCCCTCCTCGAAGCACTGGATGTAGTTATCAAAACAAATTCGAATCCACATTCGGCAAAATTAGACTTTGTTGTGCGTACAGAGTAAGCAAACCGACTGCACTACATGTGGACGTTTATCGAGAGAGATGTCGCAAAGAGCTACAAATTTTACTTCCAGGTATTAACCATCAACCAACAATCTCAAGCTGGTCAGAAAATTATTGCATGTGTAATAAATGGCAGGTGGGAAGAATACTCAACATCCCTAGTTCGATTAATGCTGACATGGTCCTATTTAAAGAAAATGCATCAAAACAGCACTTTTGCGCTTTAAATGCTGCCCGCTGCCACTTCGCTTCTTTTGGTACGGGAAGCAGGAACATTAATGTGTACAAAACTTCACTTTCGCACTGGCTTAAGCAAGGCCACACCACTGCCTAAAAACGTTTTTATTAGTAATAGGTTTTTACCCTTTTAACTGGCACAAAATCTGACACCTTTATACAAGGCATCATGTTTGCAATAACCTCAACACAAGAAGTCAAAATGCAAACAAAAAGAAACAACTCTGATGATGATAATGATATGCACTGTCCTTGAAGTTGATTGGTCCACACCCGAGACAGCTTTCTTTAGAGCCTAGTCTCCATTGGTGTTGGACCAGATGACGCCAAAAGGCGTACAACTCAAAGACAGCGCACTATTAGAGTATTGAGAGCTCGGGGTAAGCATTTACACTATGAGATCTCCTTTACCGAGAGTTGTTTCTTTTTGTTTGCATTTTGACTTCTTGTGTTGAGGTTATTGCAAACATGATGCCTTGTATAAAGGTGTCAAATTTTGTACCAGTTAAAAGGGTAAAAACTTATTACAATATTTTGCCACTGGTAAAGGAGATCTCATAGTGTAAACGTTTTTATTAACCATGAGTAGCACTGCATTCCTGCAGATATTGACTTACCTCAGCCAGTTTTCATCAGCCTCGTTTAGAGAGTATGAACATCTGTGTCGTTAACATTGGTTATCGTGCTTTGTTTAGGGAAATGGAGATATTTAGAAACACACCTATTGATGCGCATTTAATTGTTCGCTCAATAGTCTGCTGCGTTAGTTACGCACACAATGCAACAGTGCCAATTAATTTGCACGCATGGTGTGGATCTTCCACTCATCTAAACGGTTGGGATTCCTGATCAGCATTTTCCCGCTCAAAAATTGAAGTACTCCAATTTGTACTTGTGTTCTAATTTTCAAATAATATTCCAATTTCCCAGATTTCCATTTAAAAAAGTGTGAAAACATGAAAACTCCCATTTCCAATGTCAGCAAATGTTCCCTGTAAATAAAAAGTCAACTCTCTCTTTTACTGTCATTTTAAATTGCGGGAATATGCTGAACATCCAGCATAAAGAAGGCCTCACATGGATGGCGGCATTGGTGTCGAAAAATTAGGAAATTAGTAGATACTGTTATTCTATACCCTCTTATTAGAAATCAGTGAAAATAAAATCTGCGGTTTTGCACTTTTATTGGGCCTATAAACTTTAAATAGCAAAGGCTTCTCTCGTATGGATCGATGATGGACCCTTGAACCGTTGTGCCAATGCCACCACACACACATTTCCACCCAAGTGACGATATGTGCCACTGCAACGCTCTCGGCAGGTGTGGCAATGAATCAGTCCACGGCGCTCACCATGTTGGCCATGCTGGTGATGGAGGTGTTCTTGAGGTCGCTGGGGAAGCCCGGCATGCTGTTCATCATGCCGCCCTTGTTCTGCATCGTGCTGCCCATGGCCGCAGCGCTCAGTTGCTGGTTGGTGGCCTGGTTGTACTGCTGGCCGTAGGCGCCACCTCCCATGGATGGTGTCATCTGCAATATGCACACAGCAAGGATTATGTGAGAACTTTTTACAAGCGAGTGAGTTCATGTGAGTGATGGTTTTCACCGTGTGCAACAAGGAACACACACAAGTGCGAATGAGGAAATGAAGACAGAACTGACAGGGGTTAGTTAAGTAGAACATTGCAATGACTGATGGAGGATACCCTGTTAGGACACAACATTTAAATATAATAATTATTCAACACTGTGCAGCCTCATTTTTGCAGAATTATACAAACCTACAAAGTGTGTTTACGTTCATTTATACTACACCTTGTTTTCCAGAATGGTTTTCACATTGGAGCACACCCACTACTGTTCAAATATGCACTTGTATTCATATTTTGCGAACAACACAAACAATAAAGTGCCCTGATGCAGGCTTCCAAAGACTAAGAGTTAGGTATATCCAGTGCACCAACATCAATTTACACCACACACCTATGCCGCGTCGCCAAGCCACAAAAGCAAAGCAACATCTCTTCACATCCAAGAACTAATTAACCACCGCAAATCGTCGTCCAAGTTAAAGCAAGCTGTAGGAAAACTACGTTCACCTGTGCATCAAAATATAAGGGTCCATAAGCATTCTACAGTAAGAATATTTACTCGTAAGTGGCCGAAACATCGCACCGATGTCCATGCTTCGGCACAACATTCGCACGTGCAAACATTGTTTACAGCGTCTTGCAGCAGCCATTTTGTTTTACTGATAATCCCAAACTAGTTTTTTTTTGCAAGTAGAACACTGCTTTTAAATCGCGAACCAATATCCATGCAATACGGATGTGCAGTTGTTAAAATCCTCACTCGCTAACGCTTAACATGCAATGTGCGAAAACTCTTTCAAGCCCATTCACCAATGTAGATTTGAAAACCTGCAAAAATGTTCCGCCAATTTTGCACTGGGATACATAATTCGACATTGCACATTACCCACAACAGTGCCACCAAGATTTTAACATTTTCACAATAAAACAGGAGTGTTTGCGAAATTAAAGGCTTGCCTCTTTACAACGTACAAACTGAAACTCAGAGCTACAACCATTGAATTGCAAATACGTATTATCCTTACACGCTTCATTATTTAAAGTTTGCAATGCACTACACATGCGTTGAGAATTATTTTCAGTTTCCGTGTATGCATAAACACCAAGGAGATGATATATATACAACGTTTCACAGTCAAATGGTCTCAAGTCATAAGCACAGCTCCATGCTAAAATACCTCTGACGAACACGTTTTGCAAGCTACGCAAAAAAGATGCACGTGCTATACTCAACTACTGTACTTTCTGGCTCCTCAAACATTGCATGGATGATAATGCAGATGAAACAACCCAAAATGCATATGGCTAAGAAAAACATACATTTCTAGTTATCAAGAAGAGGGTCTCGCTATCCACTACCACAAACAATCGCTTTCACCAACCAGTGCTTTCACACTTACTTCAACGCACCGACAAACTACACAATGTAACCGGCACCTTTAAGCATATGCGTTTTGGTGAAGCGTGGGCCGAAACGCACAATACAAGGCACAGTATCGGCTGAGCCACCAAAACCGGTCTAACACGGACAACAATGCCGATCAACAACACCGATCCGCTCGCTCCTTTTTTTCACACAACTTCTCTCTCAAGCAGATATCACACACACACACGAGCAACACAGGACCCACCCACCCAACCCGCTCGCACGGAAGGCAGGCATATGCATTAACACACGCACCACGGACAGACGTGGGGTGGGGTGGGCGAGCAAGGCCGTGCCTTTTAAAAGCACGGGGCGTAAACACTTTAAAATGGCGAGACACGCTTGTGAGAAAAAACTTGTACAATGCCCAACCCCACACGGGCCTCAATCGCTGCTGCTGCTGCGACTTCTCTAAAGCTGCGTGTGTTGCAGGCCTACGCTTTCCCCAATGCCTAAATAACAATACAAAAACCGACACCCCCCCCCCCCTTCAAATGCCTTCACGGCAATCCACTTGCCTGCAGAGATGAAGTGTTGTTGTTGCTGTTGGGTTACACTTCGTAGGCGCATTTATTTTGTCACCAGTTTAATAATCCGCAGCCATCGTCAATTCGACTGTTAGATGATCAGGGCCCTCCAACGCCGTCACTATTGGGAGGTTGATATTGATTATTGATAAGCTTTCGTCCATCCACTGCTGGATGAAGAGAGGAGTGGTGGGGGGGGGTCCCTAACCAATCTTCACATCTCCCCCGTTTATTGCCGGCTGGTGATTGACAGCTCTAAACACTCGCTACATTAAAGTACAGTATGCTGCGTGCTATGCATACACTACTGGCGCTGCTGCTATATGCACCTACAGTGCGCACTAGATCCTATGCATTGCTACACATCTCGTATATGCTACATCGCATATGCACAGTTCCACATTCTTACGCGTAGGAGCATTGTAAGGCAAGTGTAAGCACGGATACGGATCTGCGCATATGCGAGCAAGCACTTTACACAGGCTGCTATAACGAGCATGCACCCACCGCAAAATGATACTGCACGCGTGGCGAACGTTTCATTTCACGCAAATACACACAAGCATGCATCGACGCCAAACACATGCGGTACACAAAACACGCTCACGAAGATAGAAACACACACGCGCATACCATTGGCGATAACACAGTCAAACGCACGCGTCATTATATAATACACAACACGGCTGGCTAATCCGGGGCACTGCAATTCACCTCTCTTAATCCCGACATGAAAATTCTAAACCCCGAGCGAGCAACGCGGGGCCTAGCGGCGGCTGATGATGATGATGGCTACTCAACGTATCGCCACTTGGTGCAACATCAGTCGCATCAAGCAGCAGCAGACACCAGGCAATGCCACATTCTCTCAGCTCCACCGGTTCCCCCCCATAGGAGGGAATCATCAGTAGTTTCAAGCAGCAGCAGCAACCACATCAATAGTTTCAAGCAGCAGCAGCAGACACCAGGCAATGCCACATTCTCTCAGCTCCACCGGTCCCCCCATAGGAGGGAATCATCAGCAGTTTCAAGCAGCAGCAGACACCACATCAGTAGTTTCAAGCAGCAGCAGCAGCAGACACCACATCAGCAGTTTCAAGCAGCAGCAGACACCACATCAGTAGTTTCAAGCAGCAGCAGCAGACACCAGGCAATGCCACATTATCTCAGCTCCACCGGTCCCCCTATAGGAGGGAATCCCTACACCAGGAGGTTAGGTGGCTATCCCCAATGCCCAAGCAGCACCGCTCACTCACACGTTCAGGATATCCCCCCACACCTCCCCTCCTCAATAAGGACAGATAAACGCAACATCTTCGTCATTACATCACCGTCGTAAGAGGAAAGATATGTAACAAGGATAACGTGTTTGAGGAGCGTTACCGATCAATATCGCAATCTCAAAGTGCACGTACAGGCTCCAAGGCCTTCCCTTTTTCTTTACTATCTGTCCGTATAACTTACACATCTGTAAATATTCACGGTTCTGTCTGACGGATTGAAATGCCGCTATAGACGCCAAAATCGATGCAAAAGTAGAGCACTGGGCAGTGCAGCAAACATTCTCCCATTCGAACCACCTCTCCCGCGCCCCTACATGGCCCATTCAATTGGTCCCCATTTACTCACACTTGCAATAACAAAGACAAAGCTTCACCCCCCTCCCCGTGTAGCCTTAACAGACTGTGATGGGGCAAGTGCTGTTAGCGAGCACCTATTAAGACCGGCACGGCACACGAGGGGGTGGCCAACACCACACGCGGCCGCCTTTGTCTCCCCAGTGACGATGTTTACAAAACACACACACACCAGCCACGACGGAGGATACACGTCTCGAACACCACGTCCAAAAGAAACGCAATCGTGTTTGAATCTAAGTTGTCCTTCGCATACAACAAACGCAAGAGGCCAACATTTTTCCAACACAATGGCCTGAAACCCCCCCCATTCCCCAGTCGAAACTTGTGCGTTGCGAGTGACAAACTAAAGCAGGCAACCCTAGCAAATAGTTGGTATTGACGGCATCACTGGAGGGCCCCCCCCCCTCTCTCATGTGCGAGCGGTTGTGTGCATGAACCAGCGCGGACTACGGGGGGTAAAAACCCACCACCACCCACCAAACCCCCCCGTTCTATGGCACAAGGGGCAATGATATTTCTGCACGCAGCACCCGCGTTATACGCGTGTGAGCGGCGGCTTCCTTTGTCCTGCGGACGGAGGAGGAGGGGGCAGCTGGAGGAGGAGTGGCGTGAGTTAGTAGAGGGGGGTGAGGGGTGGTCATGAGGGGTGGTCATGGAGAGGGGGGGGGGGGAGCTGCGTTTTACAACCCAACACAAGCTCTATTTGGTTGCGTGTTTGAGAACGAAAAGAAATAACACCGAATACGAAGGAATCTTTTCGCGGTGGAAACAAGAGACGCAAACACAGAGCCATCACACCTACCTTGTTCATGGCACCGGCCTGAGACTGCGCCAGGCCCGGGTGATTCCCCGGCGTCGCCTGGGCCAGGGTCTCGGCCAGGAGGCTGTTGGCTCCCACCGTGCCCTGGAACTGCATGGCGGCACGGGGAGGCGCGGGGCCTCCTGCTCCTCCAGCCATGCCCCCCAGGCTGTTGGCCGAAAGGGGCCCATTCAACATTTGTCCCTGTTGTCCGCCTTGCTGCTGCTGCTGTTGCTGCATCATCGTTTGCGCATTGCTGTTCAGGAGTGTTTGGTGGCCCTGCCCCATGCCAGAGTTCATGGCATTCTTCACCGCCGGATTCAGCATTCCACCTTGCATGCCCACAGAGCCAGGGTGGCCTTGCTGCTGCTCGGGCCCCCCGTGGCCGCCAGGTCCTCCCTGCCCACCTACCCCAGCCAGCATGCCGGGAGGTGAGGTGAGGCCACCCTGCGCCGCAGGGCTTTTCACGGCATTGCCCAGCACCGTGGACACGTTAGGACTGTGCTGCTGCTGCTGTTGTTGCTGCTGCTGCTGTTGCCCAGCGCCGACGGATGCCGAAGACTGCCCGGCAGCCTGGCTCTGAGCTGAGCCGGCGGTTCCAGAGGCTGCACCGGCACCACCGCCAGGGCCCAGGTTGGAGGTGCTGCCAGCTCGTAGCAGCTCGGACAGCTGCTTGTGCTTGGCGGCGGCGTCGTGCATCATGGACGTGGCGCCCCCGCCACCCATGGTTCCCGGCTCCCCGCCGTTGGGCAGCCGGGACAGGGGGTCGCTCGACGGTATGAGTTCATCTGGCAACTCGCTTTCCAGCTCGAACAGCACCGAGCCGAAGGCAGTGTCTGCGCGCCAAGTCGGGGAGGAGAGTGGGGGGGGAGGGTTTGGTGGTAATTAGCAACGTGGAACAAACATGTGCAACGGTTGTCCGTGTGGATGTTGGTGGAAACCGGTGGTTAATTGTGGAGTTTGCTGCTGGGTGGGAAGGTGGAGGAGGGGGGGGGGTGAGCTTTGAAGGCTAAAGGCAGCGCGCGGTGCACGGAGGAATCGCGTGCGAACACGCGCACGTGCATAACGCACCGACACAGGCGCGCGTGCAACATTCGATTCGTGCACTAATGCACGAGACGACACCAGCACGCGTGTGCACAGTTATGGGCCCCCCTTGGCAACACTCGCATCACAAACATCGTTGAATTCGGCGTTGGCGATTTCTGCAATTCTAAACCAATCGCGTCTCTTTAAAGCGTTTGTCTGTGCCAACAAGCTTAAAATCTCATAACAGTATAATTGCTGTTTTATAGCACTGTATGCATTAGACTACTGTATGTGTATCATGTGCACGCGTAGCGTGTAGACTTAAAAGGCATACGCGGTCTGGATTTACAATGCACACCGTGCAATGCAACCAAACATTACACTGACGACACCAACAAACCCCCATTTTCGCAACACATACAGAGGCGCATGCTATGTCGCAGTTTAACCAACTGAACCATTCACAATATTGGCACTTCGCATCAAATAATTGCGATGTCATGCATTTGCCCAACAAAGCACGGTCCACGACTCCCTTTTTCAGGATTGGTCCTGCGATTTGCACGTTCTGGCCAATTTAAAGCCCCCCCCCCCCAACACTCCCCCGCTCACCGAATTTAAGTAATTCAACTTCCCGCCACACCACAGAGGACGGGGACGTGGGGACGAGGGTTAACGAATGCCACCAGTCCCCCCTTATCGTCCCCCTATCCCGTCCTGAGACGACCCTGCCGACCCGGGGTATCCCCCACCACCACCATCACCACCACCCACACCACCATCACCACCACCCACACCACCATCACCACCACCCACACCACCATCACCACCACCCACACCACCACCATCACCCACACCACCACCCACACCACCACCACCACCCACACCACCACCCACCACCACCACCCACCACCACCACCATCACCCACACCACCACCACCACCCACACCACCACCACCACCCACACCACCACCACCACCAACCTGCGCCGTCGCTGGCGGAGAGAGTCGGCGAGGAGATCTTGGGCCGCTTGGCGGCGGGAGGTCCGTCCATCAGGTTCTCGGCCATTTTGCAGCAGCAGCAGCCTCCCCGTGGCCAGAGATCATTCGGAAAACGCCGTCGCACACGAGCCCCTTCAGTCGAGACTTGTTGCTGCTGCTGGAGATTTCCCTTTAAATCCTCGTCTTATTTCTTTGCCTTCGAGCGCGAGCGTCTTCCTCCTCCACCTTCCTCCCCCTACCGTCCTGCTCCCCTATCGCTCTCTCTCTCTCTTCCTCGTATTCCCCCTCTCCTCTCAAATCACTCGTATAGTGAGTGGTGTCGTCTGTCTCGGTTGTTCCAACTCAATAAAGACCGTCGTCGTCGTCGTCTTCTTCTTCCTTAAATCAGTGGCCCCCTCGGGCAGTCCGTACGCGACGCAGCCATGGCCGGTGCGGTCCACCTCGTCGTGGCCGCACGCCCGTCCCCCCCACACCCACCCCACCCACCCTAGCCCCACAACCTCGTCGTCGACTTTGTTTCTCCTCCTCCTTCTCCTTTTTCTCCTCGTCGTCGTCGTCCCAATAGAACCAATCGCTTCTGCCTCTCGCGAGCAGCCGGGGTTCCTCCTCCTCCCCCCCCCCCCTTTCTCGGCCTTCCTTCCCCACCGCCGACCAGCCGAAGGCGGCGACGACGACGGCGAAGAGAGCCGTGAAGGCGGCTCGCCGTCCCGTGTCCTGGCCGATCAGGGCATCGTCAAACCCTCCCGAGGGATGAGGGAGGGAAGGCCGGGCCGGGAGAGACAGACGGGCCCCGCGGGGGACGCCCAAGCTTAGGCCGAAGCCTTACGTCTTACCTAGCGCCCCTGCCGACGAAAACACTACTTTGCCCGCAGATGAAGGACGCGTAAAGGGGGGGCCCCCCCGAGTCGAGATAGAATTTTGATTTTTTTTTTTGCTTCCGCTGGACGACTCGACGGTTATACTTGAGATTTACGGTGAAAAAATAAAATATAGGGGCTGTTGATTAATTATTTTATATTTATTTATCTCCTCCCCCCCGCCTTGCCGTGTAATCACCTCGTCGCTGAAATCCAGAAAAAAACTGAAAAAAACCCCCAACCTCCCTCCACCCGTTATCGAATCCGCGAAGCTCGTTTAAAATAATAAAAAAAACGTCAATAAATAATTCTTAAGCTTTCTTTCCCAAAAACGAAAAATAAAAATAAAGCGAGCGAGAAGGGAGAGAGAGAAAAAAAATCCAAAAATGGTGACGGCTCCAACCGGGCTGCAATGGAAGCGAGGCAGCGAACGGCGCGCGGCGGCGACGGTCGAAGCGGCCACGGCCACACACGGCAGCGACGCCAACCCCCTCAACAAAACACAAAGAGCGACCAACGAAGAGCCCTCCCTCGCTCGTCTAAGCGCGCGTACGGAGGGGCACGAGAGGCACAGCGGAGGCGACGGCGAACAGCAGACGAACGGCGACTGCCGCGCTGCGGATGTGTGTCCCGGCGGCCGAGACCGCGGCTCCCGGGCGGGCGGGCGAGAGAACCTCCAAACAAAATGGCGGCTGTTGATCTTAAAGTTTTACGTTCGCCCGAGGAAGCCAACAACGGAGGAGCCGCGCAGCCCGACGGAAACGCACGAAGCCTCGACGGAAACGCACGAAGCTAATCCGATTCGCTCTCACCCCCCACCCCCCAATCCAACCCTCCCTTTTCCTCGTGCCCCCACCCACACACGCGTAGCCCCCACCCACCCACACACACACACACACAGGCCCCTCCCTCTTTTAACTCCCCCCCCCCCCTTTTTGTTGTATGTAACAACGCACACGTTCGTTACGTCACCGCGCAGGCACACACACGTCTCCCCTCCCTCCCTCCCCCACTTTGAATAGGCTCCGCCCCTACCCCTGTATAGCCCCGCCTCACCCTCCTGCAAGCTCCGCCCACTCCCCTCACAAGCTCCGCCCACTGCCCTCACAGGCTCCGCCTTCGCCACACCCATTCGCTTTACCTCTTGCCCCCCCCGTCATCTCACCGATGCACCGATCAGAAGTAACTCGAACTAAATTTCGATTTAAAGCTTTCGTGACTGCAGGGATTCATCTTCTTGGTTCTTTCGGTAAAGTCACGTAGAATGGAAGTAATAAAATGAAAAAAATAAAACATAATTCTCACGACGTTTCGGCCACAACGCAAGCAGCCGTCCTCAGGTGTTCTCCACTTGAGGACGGCTGCTTGCGTTTTGGCCGAAACGTCGTCAGAATTATTTTATTATGTTTTATTTGTATTATTTTATTATTTCCATTCTACGTGACTTTACCGAAAGAACCAAGAAGATAACAAGAACTACTTATATTCTTGTTTTTTTCGGTAAAGTCACGTATAAGGGAAAAAATAAAATAATACAAATATAAAACAATAAAAATGATCACGACGTTTCGACTGCAACACAAGCAATTATCATCAGGTGTGAAATCCACACCTGATGATGATTGCTTCACACCTGATGATGATTGCTTGTGTTGCAGTCGAAACGTCGTGAGAATTTTTACTGTTTAACGTTTTTTTATTTAATTTTTTCCCTTCTACGTGACTTTACCGAAAGAACCAAGAATATGAATCCCTGCAGTCACGAAAGCTTTAATTCAAAACTTTAACTAGAACTACTTATATTATTGGTTCTTTCGGTAAAGTCACGTAGATAGAAAATAAAATAAAATTGTAAAAATAAATTAAAATGAAAAATAAAAGCAAAAAACCACGACGTTTCGATCGCAACACAAGCGGGTTTCATCAGGCGGAGAGATGAAGACCGCTAGTGTTGCGATCTAAACGTCGTGGTTATTTCCTTTTATTTACAATTTTATTTTATTTTAAATCCACGTGGCTTTACCAACCGAACCAATAATATGAATTCCTGCAGTCACGAAAGTTTTAAGTAAAAAATATAACTACTTAGTTTAACACGTCGGCTTTCGCGACCAATATAATCAATAATATAGGTTTTTTTTGTTGAGTTAGATTGCGTAAATATAAATTTGTCGTTAAATCCGCCACCACCCGACACGGCCAATCAGTAAGGTTTGTCACGTAAACAGAACGTGCCAATTCCTTACTAGTACGGCACACCGGTTGTGTATTGGAGAGCAAATCCACAACATTTACTACTACAATTAACTACTACACTCAGTCTCCTTTCCATTCTTGCCTCATGGAGCTAAATGCCAACGTCGAGAGATCTTGCTCGCCACGAAGAGAGGGCGACAAGAGTTGCGGTTCGTGTCGCTTTGACCTATCTGGCCCATAGTGTGTGGGGTCGCATGGCCGGAATCGCACCGTTTGTTGGCTTGTCAACTTCCATAATCCGACCAAAAAAAAAATAGAAATGCAATGTCTCCCACAAAATATCTCCACGTGATTAAAAAAAAAATTACATTGCATAATTTTGCAGCGGCATTTATTCGGTATGAGTACGGTAAAAAAAAAAAGTTTTGGACCGGTTTCGACGACACACAGCGTCTCATCGGCAGAGTTCGGGTTTGCTTGGAATCAATGCTGGGGAATTTTCCAGACGTTTACACGGTGTCCCATAACGATGGTGATATAAGAAGAGTATTACTCTTTGGTTCTTTCGGTAAAGTCACCAAGGTAGAAAAATAAAACAAAAAAGTATATATCACGACGTTTCGATGGCAACACAAGCGGTCGGAACTCCCACAATGTGGTCCAGCAGTTCCACTGCTGGATTATTTTTTCCGCCTGAGGACGACCGCTTGTGTTGCCATCGAAACTTCGTGATATATTATTTTTTGTTTGATTTTATTTTTCTACCGACGTGACTTTACCGAAATAACCAAAGAGTATGGATTCCTGCAGTCACGAAAGCTTCAAATCAAGAAAGAATAATATTCTTTGGGTCTTTCGGTAAAGTCACGTAGATGGTTCAAAGAAAATAACAAAAAACTACGACGTTTCGATCACAACACAAGCGATCGTCATCAGGAGGAGAGAGGAGTAAAGATGGGGACTAGGCTCTAGGCTCTAAAAAAACCGTCTCGGGTGTGGACCAATCAACTTCAAGGACAGTGCATATTATTATCATTATCAGAGTTGCTTCTTTTTGTTTGCTTTTTGACTACTTGTGTTGTGGTTATTGCAAACATGATGCATTGAATAAAGGTGTCAGTTTTGTACCAGTTTAAAAGGGTAAAAACCTACTACTATATTTTGCCACTGGTAAAAGAGATCTCATAGTGTAAATGCTTACCCCGAGCTCTCAATACTCTGATATTGCACTGTGTTTGAGTTGTACGCCTTCTGGTGTCATCTGGTCCAACACCAATGGGGACTAGGCTCTAAAGAAAGCCGTCTCGGGTGTGGACCAATCAACTTCAAGGACAGTGCATATTATTATCATTATCAGAGTTGCTTCTTTTTGTTTGCTTTTTGACTACTTGTGTTGTGGTTATTGCAAACATGATGCCTTGAATAAAGGTGTCAGTTTTGTACCAGTTTTAAAGGGTAAAAACCTACTACTATATTTTGCCACTGGTAAAAGAGATCTAATAGTGTAAATGCTTACCCCGAGCTCTCAATACTCTGATATTGCACTGTGTTTGAGTTGTACGCCTTTTGGTGTCATCTGGTCCAACACCAATGGGGACTAGGCTCTAAAGAAAGCCGTCTCGGGTGTGGACCAATCAACTTCAAGGACAGTGCATATTATTATCATTATCAGAGTTGCTTCTTTTTGTTTGCTTTTTTAACTACTTGTGTTGTGGTTATTGCAAACATGATGCCTTGAATAAAGGTGTCAGTTTTGTACCAGTTTAAAAGGGTAAAAATCTACTACTATATTTTGCCACTGGTAAAAGAGATCTCATAGTGTAAATGCTTACCCCGAGCTCTCAATACTCTGATATTGCACTGTGTTTGAGTTGTACGCCTTCTGGTGTCATCTGGTCCAACACCAATGGGGACTAGGCTCTAAAGAAAGCCGTCTCGGGTGTGGACCAATCAACTTCAAGGACAGTGCATATTATTATCATTATCAGAGTTGCTTCTTTTTGTTTGCTTTTTTGACTAATTGTGTTGTGGTTATTGCAAACATGATGCCTTGAATAAAGGTGTCAGTTTTGTACCAGTTTAAAAGGGTAAAAATCTACTACTATATTTTGCCACTGGTAAATGAGATCTCATAGTGAATGTAGACTGTTTTATCGGGTGTAGTGCTAGGGTCATTAACGAAGTGGGCGGGGCTAATAATGTGAGAAATTCACATTTTTAAATCCTTTATATTAAGTTCACTTGCGTGCTTGCTTGCTTACGACCGTGCAAATCTTTCGGTCGTTTTTTAACCCACTTCCCGTGATCCAATCGAGCTGACATTTTGCACACAGACTCGTTGTGCGTGACAATTTATTTTCGTAAAAATTTGTTTCCATAACTTTAAACTTTTTAGGATTTTTTTTATATTTAATTACCAATTGCTTAATGGTGGCAGGCAATCATCTGACCCATAGGTGGCAGCCATCTCAAGCCAGAGGACGAGAGGACTCTAGCCGCCACGCATATAAAGGATTTATAGTGAAAAACTTTGTTTTTACGGGTTAATTTTTTTTCACATTAACATCACTAGCCCCGGCCACTTCTTTATGACCCTTTGGCTACACCCATTTAAAACCTTTTAAAAGTCTGCCTCAGCAGCAGACCATGCTTTCCCATTTGATGATGGACGCTTGTGTTGTGCCCGAAACGTCGTGATTTATTTAATTTTATACCTACGTGACTTTACCAAAAGAACCAAAGAGTATAGAAATTAGCATGTTTTATGTAAGATCAGAGAACGGCGTCCGTGACAAGTGCGTGGGTGGCTAGGTTAATTTGAGAGATTAGCATGTTAATTTAAGATCGCAGAACCACCGCGACGCAGAGGTCGTCGTCCGTAGGTGACCACGTTGGCGCGAGAAATTCAACCTGCTAATGTGAAATCGGTGAGCCGAAGCCACGGGGTTAACATCTGAAGGTGGCAGGAAGGGAACATCACAGCCAGTTGGACTTAAAGTGGTTGATAACGTCCTTCCAATGATTGATAAGTTTGTACCCATCTTCTCGGTTGAAATTGCGTCCCTGTCGAAATATATAGATGGCTTCATGAACGAATCTTTGTTGATAGCCAGTTGGTTTGCAAAGTACCTTTGTCTTAGAGAAATCAATTTCGTGTGAGCCCACCGCATTAAAACAATGATCAGCCACGGCCGAGGTATTGGTCCTCCAGTGCTTCAGATCTGCCTTGTGTTCACGAACATGGTCCGAGACATGTCGCATTGGGGAAACTAACATGATTCCTTGCAAAAGGTTTAAGTTTGGTGTTTGAACATCTTAACACCTCCTGTTTTATTGCCATAAAGGGTACAACCTATTCTTATATTCTTTGGGTCTTTCGGTAAAGTAACGTAGACAGGTTCAAAGAAAACCTATCTACATGACTTTACCGAAACACCCAAAGAATATAAATTCCTGCAGTCACGAAAGCTTTAATTCCTATTCTTATATTTTGATACTGGCAAGGGAGGTTCAAATGACGATGGTATTACTAACAACAGCAAAATACATATCGGGAACGTGCAT